TATGCGCGTGCATGTCTGGAAGGACGGAATTACTTATTAATATGAGCCCAGGCTAATGGCATGCCAAAGCTTGAGGCAGCATAAACAAAATGAGCCGCAGGTGCCTCCTGGCGCACGAATAATTGTGCCAGCAAAAAGGGTACGTCGAGACTTACGACTGGTTTGGCAACACAGTCGTAAATGAGAGGAGTTAAGAGGAGCCTCCCTCTCCTCTCCTTGCATTTTTAAGTGATCTGGGAGCTGGGTGCCCACAGATTTCAGTTAGGTTACAAAGGGATGGATCAATACAATGGAAGCTAATAACTTGTGAATTCATCCCAGAGACACATCGACGGCGAAGATACAAAAATACGGACTTCCATTCTGCCGTGCTAAGGAACAACGCCGTATGCACCTTCAGGCGTTGCCAAATTCGTCGTTTCCCGGACAGAGGGACGTAACTCCATTCCAAGGTTGCAAAATTGACTCAAACAATTGAATAATTCACTACAGTGTACTTGTGCAAATATTGTCCAACATTTTTCTGATTTTTGTAGGAGATCAACGAAATCAGGATATCAGTGAAATTTTCAGTTAGAAATTCCGAATAGTTTCCGCGTGAAAATTTCTTTTGCGAGGGGAAATTTGGCAACATTGAGATGTGGTTACGTTTTTTCGTGACGGAAACGACGAATTTCCTCTGGTAAATCACAAATGTTCGAGAAATTTTGTAAATATCTTTCTTTCAATTTTCCAGATAATATTTGTTCGCAATTTTACCTAACGCTCCTGGAAATTTCACGGAAGAATATTCATAACTTTCCGTATGAATAAAAATTTTATTGAAGGAAATTTGGTAACTTTCAAATGCTCATACGGCGTTCTTCCTCAGCACGGCAGCATTGCGGTGTTTTAAAATTTTCGCTCCTTCTTTACTTTTTTTAAAGAACTTCATAGTGAAGCTTTGCGCGGGATATTCAGAGAATATCTTGTGTGGAGTGTGTTTAGATGGGAAAAACAAGGTTTCTATTGGAAAATAAGGGGTCTTGGTCCGCTAAATCTGCTCCTTATAAAATTCCACTCTTATTTAGGTATCATAAAAAACGCGTTCGTCTCAAAAATTTTATAATATCAAGTGTAGGAGTTTTGATTTTTTCTTATTGGAAATGCAAGTCGTAGGTAAACTTGTCGTAAAAATGACTCTCATTTTTTTAAAATTAAATATAAGTTGTAGAGGTAACTTGGGTGGGTTTACTTTCCCGTAAGAAAAATCTCATAACCCGCTCAAAAATTGATATTATAGTTTTAAGATACGGTATTAAGTGGTCGTTCAAGCATGACGTACACTTGAGCGACTTGGGAATGAGGAAAGGTTTGAGCTTGACTCACAGGGTCTTATATTGAGGGGAAGGGGGAAGGTCAAGGCTTGCAAAAGTCTCCCCCCTTAAGAAATAAAACAAATATAACTCAATAATTTTTCAAGTTTGTTGCGTTAATTTTTCAAAAGTTTGAGGGAGAGAGGGTCAAGCTAGGCTATATGTAATTCAAGAGAGGGGATGGAGCTAGACTTACTATTGACTTACATGAGGTACAGAAGGAAGGGCCAAAAAGTCTGCCAAAGTGGCTTACTTAAGTATGCTAAATGCGAAAAAAGTATAGTTTCCTGGAAAGAAGGGACTAAGCACTTTTCATGTCGTTTTCCCACTTCTTGCATTCGCTCCTCTCCTCACTGCTTTGACGCAAGGATTCACGAGGGGCTTGGAGCACAAGGCGCAGAAGTGCAGGTTTTGAAAAAATTAAACTATTAATTATTTCAAGTAAAACTAGTCGTGATGCATAATCTGTAAAAAATTCGCTCCCAAATTCCAATTTTTAAGCATCAAAAAGTCAGTCTGAATTTTCTTTCTGCCAAAAGGATCCATGCAATTTCGAGACTTCGAACACGTATCCCTCGAAATAGCAAAAGCTGCACTTATGCGCCTTGTCCTCCGAGCTCCTCATACATTCAATATTGAGAAATACAATTGTGATCAGTCACCGGAGAAGGAACCTTCAATCCCCAAAATTTGCATCTGTTTTTATTCCTCGATGTGGGTCGAAAATTCGGATTTTGATTTTCCAACGGAGACCTCTCGATAGAGTCTTGAAGAATACGTTCGATCGGTGCACTTCATTTTTGTGCTAATAGGAGAGCTGGAAATCGCGATAAGGGTGAAAACCACATGTCTTCATTCTTCAATTCCGTTTGAACGAGGATCGAAGCGCTCTTCAAAGGCGAGCGTTCCCTCTTTTCTTGGGAGAGTTATCAGATGAAAGCCATGCAAAGGTCCGTGCAAAATGGTCGATCGGTGATAAATAATTCCGGAGCCGAACACGAAGGAAAACACACACAAACACCGACCAACCGGCTTCCGCGACAGCAGCTCAAAGTCTGAACATTCCGTGACCCGGCTGAGTCACTCAGTGAGTCACGCGAAAAGTGTGCGCCTCAGTGGCCGCACCGGAGGAAATGGTCAAAAAACTTCTTGAAAAAAAAAAAAAAAAAAAAAAAAAAAAAAAAAAAAAAAAAAAAAAAATTAGAACAACTTGTCCTCAGTCTAAAGCAGATGGCTTTGGATCCAAACAATTTGTTCAGATTTAAAGCAAATTAATTTTACGCAAAGAAAAATTTTTTGGAATGAAATATACATATATTCTTTTTTCAAGTGGAGTTTTTTCTTTATTTATTTTTATGCACTGAAAAGAAAAACACATTGGATCTAGAGTCCAGACTCTTGAAAACATTGACAAGAAAAAGGACTCTTGATTCAATCAGATTTAAGCTTAAATCAAAAGGAAATCCGCTTAAATTAAGAGGCTTGGTTCTTAATTAAGCTTAAATCTGATTGAATCAAGAGTATTTTTTCTTGTCGATGTTTTTTAGAGTCTGGAATCTAGGTCGAATGTGTTTTTTTTTTTTTTCCAGTGTGACAAAACTGCAATGAAGTTGTTTGTGAACAAATTGAACTTTCATTTATCGTCGTTTTTCAATGCACGGCGGAACGGACCATGGATTGCGGCAGAGGTACCGCTGGGTAGAGAGGAATATTTTTTGACGCCATTTTGACTTTCTTGGCGACGCGCGTTGAAATAGAAGCTCAAAATACGTGTGCGACTTTGAGCTCGTTTTTCGTTGGTTAATATTGTCCAAAAATCTATTGAAATCCTATCGACTTTGTGCACTTCTCTTTTTTCCTCGATTAATAGCGGGCTTCAAAATTACTGAACAATTAGCTCATTTAATCCGTTTAAGAGAGAACGGTTAGCACTGATTTTACCGAACGTCTCAGGAAATTTTCTCGTGTTCCTTATGTGCGACAGCAATTCGCCTTCAACTGTGTCTGCAGCAATTGTTGTTACGAATATGTTGTGCGTGCTGATTTTAGCTGATTACATACTCGACTCTCTGAAGGCGTTTTATGTGCGCAAGTAGTGCAATCTTTCGGGGAACGAACGAAGTAGGGATTGAGCGATTCATTCCATCTCAATTCTGTTGTTCTCCAACAGGGTGCTCTACTTTCGCACATGAAACGCCTTCAGAGTGTCGAGTATGTAATCAGCTAAAATCAGCACGCACAACATATTCGTAACAACACTTGCTGCAGACGCAGCAGAAGGCGAACTGTTAAGTTGAAAAAAAGAGTATGATCGGTAGTCCGCAAGTAACGTGAGGGTATGTATTCCATCGACATGAATCGCACGAATAATAAAAACGTGAACCGATCAACACCGATTCAATCAGAGCGTACCAAAATCAGTAGAAAACTTGCATTTATCATGAAAATTTCAAGTTGCGATATCTCGAAATTAAGATCAGCCAAAATTTTGATTTTTCAGGATTTTAAGTCCGCGCGCACCAGAGACTCACCCTCCACCCGCAAACTGTTTTGGGGTACATTTTTGCCGCATTTTTTTTTACTTCAAAACCACTGTGCGGGGTTTTGTGTATTCCCTGTGTATCAAATCCTCCGAAATTTTCAAAAGAACCTGAACAGTTTAAAAATGGTCCAATACATTTTGAACCCTTGCAGCAAAAGGTGCTAGTTCTAATTTCGTCCAGAGGCCGTTGGAACCTTTGCTTTTTGAATTCTTGTGTTAGAAGTCTTTTTGCATGTTTTTAGTCACCTAAAACTAGAAGGTAAGCGGGTGTTGACCCAAGTCGACCCTCGCTCAACCTTTCCGANGTATCAAATCCTCCGAAATTTTCAAAAGAACCTGAACAGTTTAAAAATGGTCCAATACATTTTGAAAACAGGTGAAGTCATTTGCTTTCATTTCGAAAAGCACTGCCCAAATGGAGAGCGAAAATTCAAAACCTCGTAGGTACCATAAGGTGCTCCTCACTTCGAAAGAACCTAAACGCCCTTGCTCTAAAAGTTTTTTTTTTTTTTTTGGTTGGATTTTTTCTCCAAAGCTTTTCCTTATTTCCAGTACAAGTATTCTTGTTCTTATAGGCGGCTGAGTTCCTTACATCGACCGTAAAATTGGAAAAAACGCAAGCCTATCTGTTTGCGACACTGCAGACTTCTTGTATCAGGTAATTTATTTTCTTATGAGAAAAATATTCAATGTCATTTCTCGACAACTTCCCTGATTTTTCTGCTTTAAAGAAAGAATACTCGCCATGAATGTTTTAAGCAATAGGCTTGGTTTGTACTCCTTTGACAAAATAGGATGAAAATAGAGTTGTAGAAATATCACAAATGACAAACGAGATACGCGGTTTTGCGGTTGAAATAGCCACTTGACGGCAAACCTGATGGCGCCACCCAGGTTTTGAACGTCCACTCTTCAGGTAAATGACGAACGAAATAAGTAGACGCTCGCATCTCGATGTCAATGTGCAGGCAGGCTCTCGTAAATTCAGCGAAAAACTCGGGGAAAATGAAGAGAATGCGCTTTTTTACCCGGCTTTTGGCGTAGCTTTCCGTGCGTCACGCTCTTCTCGTGACAGGACTCCAACATTTGGCGGACTCCATCATGCGATATCTGTTGCGCCCTTCTCGAAACCGAGTGCAGACCTCAGTTTTGATCCCATTTCTAGTGATAGTGGTGGACCCTTCTCGTGGCAGGTAAAAATCAATCGTTATGTTCTTTATGGGAGCGTTCATAATACGTAACACTCAAACGTAACATAACATAACATCATACGTAACACTCTCGGGAGGGAGGGATAGGGAAGTAGAGCGTTACGCCATTTTTGTGCGTATTAAAAGATAAGAACCTACGTTGCTAATACGTTACAAGGAAGAGGGGGGTCAAAAATGCCGAAGAGTGTGTTACGTTGTATTTACGAACGTTCCCTATCTGAAGAACTTTAGGGTACAGATATTCTTAAGGAGTTCGGAGCTCATGACTTATTAGGTGATGGGTTTTAACAACAATCGTTTAAAATGTCTTCACCTTTCCACAAGAACCTTGTGAAATTTAATGTCTCGCGCTTGCTGTCTTCCGATATTATTTCCCCGATTTTACTAAGTATGTGCCATTCGTTTTCCACGCTTTTATCATGATTCTCCGAACCCAGTCTTGTGGCAGATTTACGATAGGTCCGATGTAAACTGCAGTTAGAACGAAAACCAGAGTCGTTTTTTGTGAAATACCTATGACTCAAAAACTCTGGTAAAAATTGGCGATAGGAGCTGCGTTTCAAAATACTATAAGAAATTCTTATAGCCGGCTAAAGGAGGCGATAGAAAATCATATTGCTGGCTGTAGAAAAAGGAGAAAATCATTGAGCCGGGCTATACGAAGCGATAAAAAAGTATGAAGGCGGGCTATAGTCCCTATCGCCGGATTATACACCTTATCGCCATCTGCTATGAAAGGCTATAAGAAATTCGTGTGCTTTGAAAATAATTAAGTTTGATACGGAACCACCTTAATATTTACAAAACACACGTTATATTTTCCTTTAATACATATTTTTTTTAATCAATTAAAACGAGAATAATCCATACAGAGCGTGCAAACATTTCAAAATCATGAGTTTAAAAACGCTGACTCCGCCAGATCAAGTATTAGAGCCTATACTAACACAAAGCGGAGCGGCGACGCACTAGCGCCTACAAACCTAACAGGGATACTTCACGCATTGCGCAACGCGTGAAGTATCCCTGTTAGGTTTGTAGGCGCTAATGCGCGTTTCGCGCTGGCTGCCCGCCTGCCGCACCGCGTACCATACCGCGTGCCACGGCGCTTGAAGCAACTATTTCACACCAGAGGTATTGCACAGTATCATACGAAACTGAAGGCGCTCTAATATATTAGGAATGGCAGGCATCCATCAAAAGTACGGAGCTTTCCTCGCAAAATAAATGAAGATACTACGGCCCAAAAAGAGAGCAGTGGTCCAAACTCTCACTAAGTCCTAGCATCCGTAATTAGTGACGTTTAGCATACACTTTATCGCCTGGCTGTGACTTGCTTAATCGCCATCGGCTATAAAAGGCTATAAGAAATTGTGTAGCCGGCTATAGAAGCTATTGGAAATCTCACAGCCGGCCGTAGGTCTATGGTCTTTTGGAACACAGATTCTCCTACCAATTTTTACCAGGGTGTTTCAGGAGCTCCGCTCTTATTTCGTTTTTTTCATGGTTTTGCAAAAGCATTGGATCGACAACTCATTGTCCCAAATTTTCCGGTTCAAAATAAAATTGTTACGTTCTTCGAAATGTCCCGTGTGTTTTTTTCCTAAGTTTTTTTGTCTTTCATCTTTTGTATTTTGCAGCAGCCTTTCCCCGGATTAAGTTGTTATGTAATTTATGACTGAATGAGTTTCTCTTCATTCCTTTTCTTCGCATTGACTGAAGCTTGCAACAGACGCCCGTTCAGCAGGCTGATTATTGAAATGGATAGACAAAGCAATAAACAAAGGAGACGAAAAGGATATGGAGGGATCCTATTGGTGGAAGCGGGTGGTTGCAAAGGACAAAGGAAGTAGGTAACAGACTAATTAACGGCAACCCACGAGAGACCCGATAGTTAGTCCATCATTTATCTTCTTAGTCTATAAGAACCACCCATTTCAACAAATGCACGGAGAAAAAGACTTCGTGCATGGGACCCAAAGTTGAGGTCATATGGATCTCTGAAGTTTTCGGATCTCGCATCCGAAAACTTGAGGTCCAACTGCCGAAGTTTGGGTCAGACATCTGAAGTGCTTAGGTACATACCGAAGGGTTCACATCTGAAGTATCCGGTACATACCTAAGTACTTCAGATGTCTGACCCGAACTTCGGCAGTTGGACCTCAAGTTTTGGATGCGTGATCCGAAAACTTCAGAGATCCATATGACCTCAACTTCGGGTCCCATGCACGAAGTTTTTTTCTCCTTGTGGGATCGCTCTATACTCCTTATGTCTTCTTTGTCTATGGCTTTGTCTACAAATTTCAATCATCGGCCAGCTGCGGACCAATACATTTTTGCAGGAGTCATGAAGCACGTAGTCTTGGCACTCTCGTTACTGGTCGTGGCCGGGGGGATTTTTGCGGGTTGTCCCGAGAAAGGAGACGCGGAGACCCTAGCGGGTAAACCTACCCCTCACGATCGCACCTTTGTTTCCGAGTCAAAACCTGACGACCATAACCCTAAACCCACCGAAGAGGAAGCAGCAGCCAAATTAACTCCCGTAGAAGCTTCGGTTAGTACACTTACAACTTATTATTTTAATTGATAGTAAAGCCCAGTGTCCCGTAAAGAAAAAAAGGAGGTGTTCGCATTTCGGGAATCTTGGATTTTTTGATGACTTAGGTCGGTGCGGACGAATTTTGTCATCGATTTTCTTGGAAATGGTGTAGTTTATGGAAAGAAGTAGTTCAATATAAAGTGTTTGAGATTATATCATGGGTTGATTTCAGCAAAAAAAATCGGAGATACGGTCCATTTTTCATACTTCAAATTCCGGATTTTGCTGGAGTACCTCCGCCGACTTAAGTCACGGGGTAATCAATCCTCAAGATGCAAACACCTCCTTTTTTTCTCTAGGCCAGTGTCCTTTCCTCACAAAATGATTGGCCCGACAACAGGCCCAGATCGTAGGACCTCTAACACATCGCCGGTGATACAACAAAAAAGCGTAACTCCTTTACGGCTTTTCAAAATTTCCGCTGGCATTTCATTTTAGGTGCCAAGGAGACCCGAGATGATGCTGTTGCTTAAAAAAAAATTGTGAATATCATTAGCACGAAAAAATGGCCCAAAAATTACCAAAACATGACGTTGAGTATTTTTTCATCTAGGAGATAAATTGTGATAGGAGGTTGGAAGCGTCACAAATTTATTATACGTATTTTTGTAGTTTTGCCGTCAACATTCCAGATAAGGACGTTTTCAGGGAAACGCGAAGCAGAAAAAGAGGGAGTAGAGGAGCAGATAGAAATGAAAAGAAGAAGAAGAAGAAGAATGAGAGAAAACTGGAGAAAGAAGAGAAGGGGAGAAGGAAAATGAGAAAAAGGGAAATTTTATAGAAAGTACAAGTTCCAATGAGGAGGCGTCTTTGCTTAGTTTTCTAGTAAGGAACTGCAATTGAGAGATAATTAGGCATCGTGAAATTCATTTGGTCTGATTCTAGTTAAATCTGTCCACTTGTTGTAGAGGCAGGCACTATATGGCCCTTAGAGAGGTAACCCAAATCGTTCAGGGCAAGGAAGAATCCAGCTCGAGTTTTCCGGATAGATAACTATTCGCGCTCCCCTGTTGGTTCTTTGCCTATACGGCAAAATTGAAGGCGAACATCAGATGAAACTACCTATGGTAAACAACATCGTGCGTCGACTTAATCAAAGGTTATGGAGCGTAACAAACGTGTATTTTTCGAATAGACAATCGCGTTTTTTTTTTTTTTGTATGTTTGTTGCATATTCGAGGAAATTGATGGCGAACCTCAACGGGACGATATCTGCAGATAGGTTTACGCACTTTATGTTGGATCTGGTAAAATATGTAGTTTATGAAGCGAGACTCATAATGCTGATCTTTTCTCTCTCTCTCTCTCTCCTCTTTTTACCATTTTTTCTCTTTCCTTCCGTTTCAGCACTTTTTGTCGTGATGGCGCCTGGTGTAGTCCTCTCGCGCCATCCTCAATCCTGCTCTGTAAACAACCTTTGATTTTTTACAGATGGCCAACGCTAAGCGAGTTGTCGAAGCAATTCCGGATATCAACATGGACGTGACGGTGGTCAAACCGAATGGCGTGGCCACTGAAAACTTTACCATGAGCGACCTGGAGAAGGAAGAACAGGTGGATGTGACCCAGCTCCCCAACAAGATCGACGACTACGATCTTGGACCAAACGCATCATTTTAACACCCGATTTAAATAGTAAAAATTAAAAGAATACAAAGCGGATTACCTTTGGGTATGAAAATAAAAATAGAGAATCGATGTCAAGCGCAACTTTATTTAACCACGAAGATTAGCCACCCCCTCCCCCAAATTGTTCTATAGTTCAATTATTACAAGGGGATGAAATGTGTTGGAGTCGGGCGAATAGGCGCTGAAAGAGGAAACTGAAATAATTGTTCCAATACAACGACAAAACCGATATGGGATCAGAATATATATTTCCAAATTTTTGTACGAACGAAATGTTTTACAATATTTTCTAGAACATGGGTCAAAATTTCAAGCCAGAGAGAAGATAACGCCAGTTCACGTTGGTACTTCCCTTATAATTTTAATAAACGCCACCGTACAAGACAAACCACGCTTTTTTCTTTGAATCCTGGAATCCTCTAATTCCGGTCTCGATGGGCTTATACATTAGAGCTTTTATCAACATCAACAAGGTTTAACAATAAGGCTTGATTTGAACAACACCATTTTATTTGTACTTGAATGAGAACCACCAGACTCTTGAAAACATTGACAAGAAAAAATACTCTTGATTCAATCAGATTTAAGCTTAAATCAAAAGGAAATCCGCTCAATTTAAGAGGCTGTGCTCTTGATTTAAGCTTAAATCTGATTGAATTAAAAATGTTTTTTCTTGTCGATGTTCTTAAGAGTCTGGACTCTAGATCCAATGTCTTTTTTTTCCAGTGTAGGTTTACAAATACATCCTATACAGGAATCTGACATCAAATTGATACAAATAAGAAAAAACCGAGTGTTGAAGCAGCCGCAAATAGAAAAGTAGGATTCGGGTCTCTATTATTTTTCACTTTACTCCCGTGTTTGAGGTCTAAGCGCGACATCCGACACGTCATTAGCAGTAGAGCGGAGCATTGCGAGTTCACGCCTCACGCCATGGCGCCTTCAGTTTTGCAGACGCAACACGGGCATCCATCGAGTACGAATAGTTGTATCTTTGCGCCGTCATCAACGCGCATCCTTTTCCTAGCTCTATTCCCATGTTGTCTCCGTTTCTGCATGTCTTATTCGTAGTGCTGCTCGAAAGGCTACTAGTAGCACAGCCAAGGATAGGAAAGACTCAATCCGGCCTCGTTGTTTAACTTCAGTCCCGAATCGAATCAGAGCGACGCCTTATCGGCAGCGCACAGCGGAGTATTGAGAATTCACGCCTCGCGGCATCGCGCGCCTTCAATTTTGCAGACGCAACACGGACATCCATCGAGTACGAATAGTTGTATCTTTGCGCCGTCATCCACGTGCGTCCGTTCCTTTGCTCTTTTCCCATATATTGCATTGTCTCCGTCTGTCTTATTTGTAGTGGTGCTCTAGGGGCTACGTAAAAAACACAGCCGAAAATAGGAGAGAAGTAATCGGGCCTCGTTTTTTATCAACCCTCCTGACTCATGGCATTAACCTGAGTTGATGTGTTTGGATGTGTCTCATATTTTTGAGATTTGAGAAAAGTTACTGATAAGTTAGCTCAAAATAAACTCTGATGTGTCCAAATCGATAGGTAATCATTTTAAAAAAAGAAGAGGAAAAAAAGCAAAAACTTATTTAGAGGTTTCGCTAAAACGCGCCCTAAAGGACGCACGTCTATTGATAGAAGAAATAAACGTCTTACCAGGAAATTCAAGTTTTACCAAAGAAAATTTGGCAACGCCTAAAGGTCCATACGGCGTTTTTCCTTAGTACGGCAGTACTGCAGAAACCTTTGTTTCTCTTTTTTTATGAAACGAACGGAACCGAGAGAGTATCTATAGCGATGGCTTAGTTCCAGAAATGCAGATCTTCATTGCAACGTTTCAAAATCTTCGATGACTTATATGTATGTTTGATTTTATTATTCTTCATAGAAAATTAACCATCCCTCGTACTACGACCGGTAAAAAATTATTTATCGAATATTATTAGAAAGACTGTTAAAGATGACGCTTTAGAAATTAACCCTTTTTAGATATTTTTTTAATCAAATATTTTCGTCTGGTGAAAGTCGCCTTAAAAAAGTTTTGTCGGTAAACTGTCCTTTGTAAGAGTTTTTCTTTTTTTGAAAATAATTCAAACACTACAGGTGTTAGTGCCTGTACTGAAGTGAAAAAGGTTTGTAACCCCCTTTCACTTTAAATTTTACTCCTTGTAAATTTTACCATAAAAAATATCCCACGAAGGTTTCTGAAACCATAAATGTTAAAAGTTTGTTAAAAAAAAAAAAAAAAAAAAAAAAAAAAAAAAAATTAAGAGCTTTTGAAGGTTTTTCTTCTTTTCAGCTCTTTTTGCTAACTTTCAATAGGTAATAACACTTTCTTGAAATTTTTCGTGAACATTTCAGGTGATTGAATTGATAAAATTCACAGATAAGCTTTCCTTTCGTTTTCTTTAAATAAGAGAGAAACAGCGGAGATTTGCAACGCTGCGATCGTAGTTATGCATTTTTCGACTCAATTCATAGATATTTGAACGCATTCAAATCATAATAAAGCTATCTCCATCGGGATCATCACGCATCATGGGCCCGGGCCCTGTCACGCGCATATTCTCATGGATCCAAGGCTCAGATCGCAATGGAGATAGTACTTTCTGATTTAAATGTGTCCATTTAACTGCTACAAGTAATTATTGCAACTCCCAAGCCGTTCACTTTGCCAGGTTTTTGAAGGCGAACTGGTTAAAATGAGGGCGATGCGGGCAGTTAGAATCAGGTTTCGGTGACGCGACTGGGACTCGCCGCAACATTCTCCTTCAATTTTTATGCACGCAAACTAACATACACAGAACTGTAAGTCATGACGGATGAATGTTAATAGGACTGAAAATGTATTTTATTTTATTGCCAGTTTCATGTAGTTTTACATGGATGGCTTGTGTGGCAGCCGATTTTAAGAGTTGTATTCATGAGGAAAATACAAACATTTAGGGAACTTTTTAAGGAGGTATTGGCAACATGTCTAGTAGGTGAAGGTTGGCAACAACTTGGCAACAGCCCGCCCACGCTCCCTCCGCCCCTCCCACTCTGCAGCCACCATATTTGGAACTAATAACAACAACTTCATCAAAAAGTTCGTGTTCCAAAGTTTACCAAGCCCAAACCAAAAGTTCGGAAAAAATCGTCAGTATTATTTTCATTAATTTCGAAGTATTGTGATGATCAAGTAGGCTGTTTTGTTAGTTGTCCATCTGTGCCAAAATGAATATTTCTGGGAAACCTCTCAAGAAATTAATCAGATCAAAATCAGGACTAAAAATTGTCACTGCTAATGATGAAGATAAGAGTCCATTTGTGCAGCAGGAGCCAGAATGGATTCCTGATTGCGAGGTAAGAATTCACAGCCATTCATCTATGTTTTTTATCATTCCTGTGCAGTTCAGACTTGCTCGAGAACAGCTTGAGTTAAGGTGGAAAATAGGTCGTGCTCGCGTTCTGTCAGATGATTAGCTGCTTTACGGTTGTCATCATGTTCTTTTAACTGTGGCTACATCAAAATGGCCAGTCCATACAGTTAAGTACTACAAGTAAATTGCCATGTTTGCTCTTTAGATATAATCAGTCGATGATTTACCTGAACCACTGGGTAGTTAGCGCAAGCATGAATTGCAAGCTCAGTCTCCTTGGGCCCCTCTCTACATCTAAGTTGATAGAAAATTGGTGATCCACTCTCTAGAAGGATAGGTAAGCCTTGCTATAATTTTGAGATTGAGGGACTTGGTACACAGTCTCTGCTCCATCTCACTGATCCATCCGATAACACAGCCACGAATACCTTTCACTTGATTTCGCCAAATACACCTTTTATTTTTTCCTCATTTTCTGTCAAGTGAATTAGACTGTGAGTGTAAATCAGCTTGTTGCCAACTGTATACCAGGTTGTTTTTCTTGGGGTGCACTGCACATAGTCTGACAATATTGGAAATTTGGTAGAACTCACGGAAGATTATGTAGGTGGCAGTCGTTTACTTTTGGCTGTCATGCGCTGCAGACATTACAGTAAAATCCCCTCACAGGAAAGTATAGATTTCAGGTATCTATGCATAATAGTAACACTGCGGCATTGTTGCTTTTGGTCAATCCTTGATGTCTTTTGGATGACTTTAGAGCAGTAGCTTGTAAATGAAAAGTAAACAACTTCCAATGTATTTAATGCAAGTTCAGCAATTTTCCATTTAATTAGATTTAATTTAATTTTTTTTTTTTTTTTTTTTTTTTTTTTTTAACAATTTCAAGTAGCCTATCGGCTAATCCCACGCTTTTTACCCCAGCCCCAGGTGACCATTGCCTGAAACCATCAAACTCAGATCACCTGGCCGGGAATCGAACCCGGGACCTCTTGGTCATAGGGCCAGCGCTACAACCACTACACCACAGGAGGCCGCCATGGCCTTAATGCTGTGAAACCTCTTGAAACAAAGTTGCCGATTAGCTGCTGCATTGATTGATGTCTACATCCAACTGAAAATTGCATTTGCTTCTTTTGAACAAGATTTTTCAATTTTGAATACTTAGTCACATTTTCATTTCATGCTCGATTAAAATTTGCCCTTTTTTGGACGTAATTTCTCATTTTTTGTCTGATCAAATTTATTTTTGCTCACTGTTTATCAAACCTGTTTGTAAAACTTTTATCGAGTAAAATTCTGCTACGTGTGTACATAGATCTATGACAGTTACTCCAGTATTTGATCCTTTTTTTCCTCTGTTACCTTTTAGGTGATGTTTTGCACTAAATGTCACATGAAGTTTGGATTTACCAGACGGAGGGTAAGCATACTCTAAGTTGTTTTTGCATTCACTTATCTCACTCTTCTTTTTTCCTTTTTTTATAACAAGACTTTTTATAAGCTGTGGAAACTGGAGGAGACACAAACATAAATCTGCCTGGAATTGCTGGACTGCAAATGAATAGGCGAGCTGTTCTGGATTTTGCAAATCTCTGCTTTGAGGCTAGATTGAGTGTCCATTGTCCAGCTTTCTTCGAAACTGACTTCTTTTCTTCTTTTTCTTGCTTTACAAGATCAACATCAATGGTGCATCAATCATGGTATTATCAAACCATGAGTTCAGATTTTAGTATTTCGAGTTAGCTGCATGAATGAGACAGGATATTTCTTTTATCTGCTATAGAAATATTTTGAGTCCAAAAGATCTAGAAGTCACCTAAAATGTCGTTTTAACTTCAACGCAAATTTGCAGAACACATCTTGTGCTAGCATCCATGGAAATCTATCAAACCAAGTAGAAGATCCCTATTTATAAAATTGACAAAACATGATTGAAGATAAGCTTTGTCATTTCTAGGTAATGCCACCCATGCTCTAGCAATGGTTTTTACGTGCAGATGTTTCACTATCAAACCCATGAAATGAGAGTTAAATAAACATCTCAACAAGATATTTTTCGGGAACAATGAAGGCTTCTGCACACTTAGTTAATTTCAGCGCTTTGGCCTTTATGAATCTTTGCAAGGATTTATCTTGATTAAAATCAGCGACAAACTGACTCAGAACCTTTATTCTAATTTGTGGTATCTTCTAATGGCAGCGAGTCCTAGAGCATATTATTTTTGTTACCTTTCTACTGTTAAAGATGAGGGACGTTAACACTGGTTCTCAGAAACACAAGGTTTACTTCTCTCTCTTTCAATATGTTCTGCGAAAAAGGATAGACCCAAAATACTTTAAAATTGTTTAAACACATGTATTCCTTAGATCACCTCGTGGAGAAAACTTAAATATTGAATGTTCTATTTTTCTGTTGCAGCATCATTGTCGACGTTGTGGCTTAATATTCTGTAGCTCCTGCTGCAACGCAAAACTTCAGCTCCCCCGAATGTGTTTTTTTGACCCTGTTAGGATATGTGACCTCTGTACCTCTGTTACTAATGAAGAGAATGAATTCTTCAAGTATCAGCTCAGAACTTTATTGATAGGTAACTATGATCTCTCCTTTTATCATAGAATTTTTGAGTTTGCCTCCTCTCAGATCATTCATTGAATGTGACCATGCAGAAGAAGAGGGATGTTGGTTTTGAGAGGTGAATTATTTTTTAAGAGCAATTTTTTCAAGGTTAGGAGAAACGATAGAATACCATGGTGAGTTTGAACCGGGGACAGGATCGGAAGTTGCAACCCTTTGTCCGCACAAAAGACCAGCCCTCTCCTCTGTCTAATTTAATTGGCCAAACTACATAGATGGGCCTATTCTGCTTTGTGAGTGCAACTTCTAATTATACACTGTTCAGCCAGACTGATCTGTCTAACAAAAATGCTGAAGAAAAAACTTATATTTGTCTGGAGCTACCATCTCAGCTATTGACGTTTTAGCTTCGATTTTCACCAAGGCTTGTGTAGACCTAACTTGGTTTCGGTACCACCAAATTTAAGCCAAACCCATCCTTAAAATAAATAGATTATTTTTAAAATTTTCCTATATAGATAGACATGGCCTACTGTAAGACATTCAAAGTAGGTATTGACTTTTATTTGAAATCTTTTGATATTCTAACTCTCTTTGTTTATGAATTTCAGGATCAAAATTTGAATACTCAACTGTTGACTGTAGTAAATCACCCAAGTTCTCTTCCATTTGTATTTGCAAACTGTCCCCTGATCACAGGTAAACATAATCTGAATCTTCATTTAGTTCACTATATCATTTTTACAATGATTATTCTTTAATGTTCTGATCTCTCATAATGCCAAAGAAGAAGAGAGTCTCAATTTCTGTTCGTTTATTTATTTTTTTCCCCCATAATCAACTTTCTTTGCACTTCTAAAACAGGTTTTTTCACATTACTAACAGTCACTAGAGTTAATAAAAATCTCTGGCAAACAACATCCTTGAACTGCAAAAATCTCTCTTGAAAATTCTCTAGTCAAGCCCAAAAGGAAAAATTAATCTTTACGAAGTTGTGAAAAAACTTATTTTTATTATTTTATTATTTACTTTTTTCTAGTTTTTTTTTCTTTTATTCAGGCTGTGACTCAATCAAAAAAATCAACCAATGTTTTTAATTTTTGAATTTTAACCTTTGCATAACGTATTCTTGTCTTTATTTTTCAGGTATTTGATCTTTGATGAGCCCGAAATCAATCCAGTTAGTTTGAATTCTATTCTATCGTTAAAGCTTCTAAAAGGATCTGATGAAGGTATGAACTATTCACTCTTGCTTTTTGAGTTAATTTTTTTTTATCTTAAGTGATCAGAACTTCCTTGCGGATGAAGACCTCTTGAGAAACTTGGTAGGTACAGCCTTGCTTGAGCCATCCAGCTGTGCTCTGGAGCTTCATCAGACTTGCTGCAACATCAGGGGGCCTTAGTAGCTACTGATAAATGCCGGTAGTCACTGTTTCGTTGTTGTTATTTTGTATAGATAGATATTAGAGGCATCTCTCAATTTCATTGATCTGCAGATCATGTCGATAAATATTATGTTTAGAATTCCCAGTTTCTGCCTCTGCGAGTTGCCATTGCTTGTCTCCAGATACAGTAACTGGAAACTGACCCCAGACGTGGGGCATTTGAAAGAGCATGTTCCAAACTATGTATGGATTTCAGACTCTCTTATTGTGATCATCAAGAGTTCTGTGCCATTTTACCTCTCAACTATCTACTTAATCGGCTGTATCTCCTGCGTGCTACAGACCCGTTTCTATGCGCGTATGAAACTTTTTCTTGCTCCAGTTGATTAAACAAATAAGGACACAAGGAATATATTTAAAATTTTAATGTTTTTACTTTTCAGATATATGTGGAATCGATGTGGAGCATATTTCTGAACATAGAGAAGTGTTTCGTCTAAGAAATTTAGGAGACCCAAATGAATTAGTTTCAAGCACAGACTGGATATCTTCTCTGCTTTCGGTAATCATTCAACATCCCTAAGTAAAAAGCATCAAATCATTTTTAATCTTTTATCTAAAGAATAAGTAAATATTCTCCTCTCCAAGAGGAATGCCATATCGATGGCTAAAGATGAAAAATGCGTATCTTAGCTTGCAATCTTGTAAGTCTCTGATCTTATTTTATATATTTTTTTTTAAAGAAATCTGATGAGCTGTTTCTATTGAAATTTTCTGTGCATTTTCTTCACTTGTTCTAAAAAAATTCACACAAAATTGCAAGGATACATTTTCATTGATTTTCCTCGCAGAGATTTAAAGATAAGCATGTATCGCAATGAGCTATTAATATCTTTCCCAATAAAAATTAATATTACCTAGATGGCACTTTAAAATGTTTCAAAACGGATGTGCAAAAAGTAATTTTTGAAAACAATATATCTTTGGACTGTCTGTGTGAATTTTTGCCAAAAAGTACCATTGTTTAAAAAGTTCCTAATTGCACCGCTTCTAGTGCCTCTGGTTTTATGTCAACTTTTATGGTACAAGTTAAAAAATCTAATCCATCAAAATTGATAGGAGTGAGAAAAAGAATGGGGAGGATAACAAAGAAATTCAACTAAGTGGAAGTATATTTGTTTCTGCACTTCTATTGTGCTCAAAAATTTTCAGCACCTTCTACTAGCAATTAAAATCATCTGTTAATATTACTCTAACCACCATTTGTTCTTATTTTTATTTTTTTAAACTATTATTTGAATGTTATATATCATTGCTGTTGTTATTAATATTATTACTACATACCATGTTTGCCATTGATTAGTTAATTTTTTTCTGTTGTTTGCAGGCGTTTGTTCTATTCCTGAAAGGCAAAAGTGAAGAAGATGCTTATATTGTCGGATGAAATGTGAGTAGTTGATTTCAAAGCTATTTTCTTGATTATTATTATTATTATTATTTTTTGACGCAGTTATGAGCTCAACCCAGTCACCAATTTTAATACATTGTTTTCCCTCCACTAGTTCTGAAGCTCTCACAAAACATGTAGAAATTTAATGTTTCTTTGATCCAAAGTTTGAAAAGATATTGCTCAATCCATGACTTTTAATTACTTCACCGCTGAAAATGAAGAAGTGCGTTTTTTCATGTTTTTTCTTTTAGACATGAAATACAGGGATCTGTATCTTTTGTATGGAAACAATCCTCTTTATCGTTCTGTCGCTTTTCAGAAATTGTTGTGTTCAATTTTGATGAAAAAAAAAAAAAAAATACCTAATAATAATAAATAAATAAGTAAAAACCAGCGCAGCACCCTTTTGCAGTTCCTGTTTAAAAAATTGTGCTATCATTTTTCTCTGTACCACATGGGGAAAGATAAAATACTCCAATTAAGTAATATGATGTTGAAAATTTTCTATCACCTAATAAGTACAAAAGCATAGAAGTTTTCATCGTGAGAAAATCATCTTGAACAGCCTTATGGGATTTAAATTATAGACAATTCAGTAAGTATTTGATTGAACTACAGTGAAATACCGTCTCAAGTCTAGAAAAAAATTTCAGTGATCTGTATTAGTACCTATCGTACCATTACCAAAATCAAAAAATGCATGCCCTGGTGTTGGGAAGATGTAGGTTAGTTTAACTTGTATTCATTATTGTAACCTCATAAAACAAAGTTGACGGTTGTAAAAATTCTCTGTATTTCAACTAGTTTCCAAAGCACTATAACAGAAGTAATTATTCCAAAATTAGATTCCTATATCTGAGTGAGGAATGATTTGATTTGGTTGTGATATTATTTTCTGAGTGAGAATTAACAGTTCTAACCTCTTTTATCGGGTGTGAAAAAAGAAAGCAAACAAAAGCTTTAGGTGAATCTTCAGCTGTAGTTCCAGGAAAATCTAACATGTCTTACTGCTAGAATCCAGCTCCAAAATCCATAATTATTAAAAATTACAACAGATATATTGAACTCTAAGACCCATAAGTTCTTGCAGCTTATGTCTGTGTGCTTATGTTTGGAACACAAACTTTGTAAGTTACATAATAAAAGCTAAAACTTGATCCCAGTTTCTTTTATGGGATGCCTGTAAGTGCGAGAGAGATGATTCTGAGAGAGAAATGATTCTTCTTGGAGTCAGATTTCAGCAGTGCGACTCGGTGAATTTTTTTGAGACAACCCCTGAAGATTCATCCGAAGCAAGCTGAGCAACAAGGAACCAAGTGCATTGGAATATTGCTGAGACACTGAAACTACTTTCTAGTAGGAAGAAAGTAAAATCTATAAAATAGTTTTTGTTTAATTAACATTTTCTGTGCATGAAAACTGTTTGTACCATTACACTAACCTCCAAAATGGAAAATATAGGACAATGCTTACAACACTGAGATGCACTCAGTCCCTCTCTTTCCAAATTTTTACATCTCTGAGACCAATCAGTAGGATTACTTCTTAAGTTGCAAACAGATCTTCTATTTGCCGAGTTCAAGATATCTTTGCTTATTCATTTATTTATGTTATTTTAGAAAGTAATACAAAAGGTTGTTTCATCTCAGTAGCTGTGTCTAGTCTTTAAAAATCTCAGAAAAAATATTCTTCAATGAAAGGATGAAACTCTTAAACTTTTAACCCATTAGAGAAATTTATTCTAAACAAAAATGAAAATGACTCTGGGTCTATTTATCAGTGTATCATGACTATAATGGAGTTTCTCTCTTTGATTTTTTGACATATTTTGTGTTGAAAAAAGTTTCTCCAAAGCAAGAGAGGGATGCCTCTCAAGTTTTCAAACCTCCTCTCTTAAGTTTTGAAACTTGTAGCTCTTTAATCATTACTATAATTCATTAGTCCCCTAAACCTTAACACCGCAGCCATACTTTTGTAAACGTAGCAATCTAAATATATATACATTTAAAGCAAAGGTAGTTTATATTGTTCTGAAACATTCTTAAGTTCCACATGGAGACCATCCCAAAATAGTGTGAGTAGGTGAAACTAAAATTTTTTCATGTATAGATATTTCCCAGGTGCCTTAATTTTTCCTCCTATTGAGGTGAATTTTTCTTGTCTAAAAACTTAGGTATGATCTGCCCCAAGAAATTAGTGAGCTGTGATTATGAAAATCACAAATCTGTAGTTTAAGTATGTAAGTTGACTCTTAAATTATTTTGATCTGAACTGCTTACAATTGGTTGATTTTATTAATGCCTCTTCATTTATTGATTATGCAGATGGAATGTTAGGTTTTGTTTTACATATACATGTATTAGTTTTGCTCGCCATTGAAAAATTCTTCGATTCAAAGATTAGATGTACGATACTCATGCCAAATGATCTTATACTTAATTTTACAAAACAAAAGTTTGTAAATAATCAGAATGAAAGGGCCATCTTGCGTTAAATTGTCACCGAGGGGTATAAAATTGAATTTACTGCAAAATTTTAATTTTCTTTCGCCAGGGATTCTATTATTTCTTAAATATCGATTTTACTAAACAAGTATTATGATATTAGCATTTTGTATAATTTTTAAATGGTTATATTGTAAAGGGATTACCATTAAGGGTTTTTTAGTTCTGTTTTACAATCAGATCTAATCTTTTCTCTTTTAAAAACTAAATTTTTTTCACTTCCTGAGCTCAATGGTAATTTGGTGTTAAATTTTTGCCTAGTTTACATTTGAAAACACTGATCGACCTCTCTTTTTAGTGATTCCTGTATGAAGTCATTGTGATTTGTTCCATTTTGTCTTTGAGCCCAAGGGAGCAAACTCTAATTTTGATTTTAGGCAAGAGATTCTAGTCCTCCCTTAATTCTTCACCTTCTGACTGAATTTTACAAGCGCCATTTACGCTCAGCAGCTATGTTGCCAGACGTATCAATATTGTTCCAATATTTCTTTAAAACTTATGGTAAACCAGAAGCGCCCAAAATTGAGTTGAAGAAGTAAATTGAAGGTCAGAGTAGTGAAAAAAATGTTTTTCTCTGTTTTTTTTTTTATCTAAAGAGAAAAGAGTTACAATTTTTTAGGTGGTCTAGAGATATTTGACGTAACCGAAAAGGAGGTGAAGGGGGTCAAAAATCTCTTGACATAATTCATTTACATCCCTAAATTATTCACATTCAACTGGTTCCAAGTTTATTTTTCAAATGCATGTGGTGGATGCCATGTATTTGGTCTCCCAGGTGTCGGTTACTTCCATTATTGTACTCATTTATTTTCTAATATACACGTGTTTGTTTTTATATTTTACATCTCAGAATTTTGTTTTTTATTGTAAAATTAAATAAAGTGTTAAAATTGAAGGATTAGAATGTCAATATTTAATGTTGATTAAGAGTTCCATCACAAGTAGCAAAGAAACAATGAAATTAAGGGCTTCTTTTAATATTTTTCCTACAAAATGTTTTTCTCGTGCCATTTTTTATGTGACCTCGTTGTGTTCATAAACTGGAAGTCGATGAAAATCCTTTAACCTATCTGCTCTCTTCTAGGTCTAAAAAAGAATCAAGTAGATTCTATCGCTAGCACTAGTTTTAACTATCACTATTATAATCATTGTTATTGCCATCATTTATATCTTCTTTATGTGAACATTTTTTAGTTGGGTATTATTGTGAGATGAACTTTTAAAGTTTTTATTTCCTGCCTATGAATAGGTAGTACCAAAACCACTCATTCAAAATTCCTCTGTAATACTTGCCAGATTTTGGCGATACATATACTATCATCATTATGATGATCCCCCCCCCCCCCCCCACACACACACACACACACTCAAGTTGCTATTAGTTTCTGTTTCCGGTTTATTTTTCATGTATTGGTTTTTTTTTTCCAAAGATATTTTCGCTGTATGTCATGAGAGAACTGAATTCTGAATTTCAATGAATTTTCCGAATTTATAGCTTGTGGACTTGTACCGTGACTATTGGATAGTGATTTATAAGCAAAAATTCAACACCAACTAATTATTTTGATTTAGGTATGCACAGAGCATATTGCAGTGTGCTTCTATGAAAAAAAAAAAAAAAAAAGTTTTGTAGGTTTGATGCATGCTAGTAGAAATTAATTTTTAAAAAATCGTCCATAATTTTGCTGCTGTCAATGAACTAGATCTCAAGGTAACAGAAACGTACCCTTTTGTCTGCAAAGCTAGGTATAGCCTAAGTATTGGTTGTTACGTTGAGCATTTTGGAAGCATGCATATTTTTCAATTTTTAATTACATCGACGTGGAGTACTGGTGTTCCTTTTTCTCAATGTAACTACTCTACTCAATGATAATATCCAATCTACTGAAGTGCATCAATGTCACTCCTCAACCCTCTTCGTTTAAATATAAATAATTTTACTCCAACAATTACCTTTTCATGCTGAGCCGGTAGGTTGCTCTGTCTGTAAGCCTACCAGTGCCTTATTAGGTTAGCAAATAAGTATTCATAAGAATTTCTATTCAATTTGTACGCAGTTAAATGCATGTTATTCTCATCACTTGTATGTCAATTCTCCAAACTCAGAGACTAGTATCAAAAAAAGAGGCCTGTCAATTGTAGCTTTTTCAAAGCTGTCTTTGTACCAACAGATTTTATTAAAGTCGTTCAGTTGATTCTAAACAACTCTAGTATTTTTTAAGATTTCCTCCTGATTATATTAATGCGTTCTTTTTCCTCCATTTTAACTTAATTTAGCGTCATAGTAGAGTGAAAGAAAGCCAAATATAACCACCTTGGAGCTGAATTTTACAAAGCATACTGTTCTATGACTCTGAAAAAGATTCTCCTCTTGAAGTATTCAAAGGTATTTAGAGGATGCCAAGGTGCTCATAAAATGTTCTCTATCAAGGATTAAGTCCTATTTTGGAAATAAGAGGTACAGTCAGTAGTGTATTTACATCAGAGATTGGTGTCGCTACCAAGGTCCCAAATTTTGTTCGCAAAAATTCTGAAGCTCATACAAATAAAAAAAAATCATCTAAAGCAGTTCTTCCCCCTAAAGTAAATCGATGAGTACGATAATACTCACTGTCTCTTTCAACTCGCGTTTTTGTAGGTAAAGTACCGTTCATGGATAAACAGATCCAAGATGCCACTTTTGGTGAATGGGGCTTTCAAATATCTTCCATCAAAATTCCATCTGCAGAATTTTCCTTTCTCTGGCTTCACAATAACACGGCCTCATGGCATCCCTTGGTAAAGAAGATGACCGATGGTGCTCATCAAGGATTTCATTTTCAAATTAGGAACTAGAACTGATTTTGATGAGTCCTTTGTGACTTCAATAATTTCAATAGAATAATTTCACAACTATGAGAGGGATCCCAACTTGGAATGCTGGTATCTCCCCTTTACTTTATCAAGAGAATCAATAACTGGAGTTTTTGTGCCCTCCCTTCTCCTCAAAATGTTAGTAAGATTAAATAAAGTTAGTTATCGTATTTCTGAGGAATTATTTCCAATGCACTTATTACACATTTTTAAGGTGGATTTATTTGATCCAAATTGGCAAAAATTTATGTAAACTTTTAATGTGATCGGCAATCATGTTTCCACTTCTTTATTGTTTTTGTTTTTAGTTTCAGATTTTTCAAAATTCAAGGGGAAAAAATTGATTAAAATCTTTGATTCTTTGGTTAAATTATAGAAGTAATAGGGAGATTTTTTTAAGACTGAAAAAACATGACATGAAGCAATAGTTTCATGAGGAATTGGTTTCATCTTGGAAGACAGCTCATGACGATTCAATTCTTGTCCTTGTATTTGAGTAGTTCTGCTTCCAGATCTTGCTTTTGCAGTTTTAATTTCTTGTTCTTATTAATGGCTTCAGCTACGGTTAATTGCAATTTGCTATTGATCTCACTTTGGCGCTTTAGCTCCTCTTGACATCTGGAGTTATCCTGTTCCTGGACGAAGAAAATTAGAACATAAATAAACAAATAATTATAATATTAAGGCTTGCCACTTTCCTCTCATTACACAGACAGGATGATCAGACTTTTGGATCCTTCTGTAATCTCTTTTCTTTCTTTTTATAAAGTTAGCCTTAGGTTGAAGGTTGGGTCGTTTGCTGGTTTTAGTTTTTACACTTCTGAGTCACCGGATTACGTTTTGCGAACTACACCAATAATTATTGTATAATTCACATGCCAAATTTATGCGTTTCAAATTAAGAGGAATAATGCCCTTTGAAATACTTGGTGCGCATGATATTGTGATCACTGCAATAGACCTTGGCATTGTTTCATCCACCTTAGTCTCTTGAATAATATAAGATGAATAAAAGTGCAGAGTTTGTTATACTTGAAAAATGCATATTCATTAATCATGAGACATAATGGATTATGAAATGCTCTAATGCGCTAAGTATGTCCTTAAGCATTATGCTGTTTACAGGTTACTGTTGCCTACAAATTTAAATAGCGAAAAAAGGGAGATGACTTTACGTTTTGAATCATAAATTGAGTTTTCTTTTTCAAATTGTGATGTGCCATATTAACCCTTTCCAGACACTCATTAGACAAGATTACTCATTAGACAAGACTCTTAGGAAGTTAACAGTAAGGTTAAATTAGAATGGTTAAATTGCTACTCACCTCTACCATTGTATAATTTCTTTTCGTCCCTTTGGCATCAAGAGTTTGCTCTAACTTTCTCCTCTGCAATTGAACTTCACCTGAATCAGAGAAGTAATATAGGGCCATTCACTAGGTATCCAATGTCACTCTTTTAAAGTTTTGGCTCTCTGAGGTGTTACTTGAGCACCAACTTGCGCATTCTTGGCAAAAACACTATTCTGAGCAACTTGCTTATCCTGTCCCAACTTAGCTTTAAGTATTTGTATCATCTAAGACTAATTACCTAAACTTTCTCAATGAAATTATAGGATACACACTCTGTCCAAATGAGACTATCAATACAAGCGGGACTTTTTTAGACAAAAAATAGACTGGTAATTGGTCAGAATGACTGAATTTATAGAATCCACGAATTGAATTTAGAGATATGAGTTTCCTAAGCAGTAGAGCACTGCGATTGAGACCAAGACTTTGCATAACATTTTCTGATTGCATTCTAAGGCGTTTGTACCATAAGAAAAGCACTCACTAAAATGAAACTATATAAATAAACTATATAATGACTATATGCTGTAGTTATTAGACTACCTATAGACTGCTCATGCAGCGTTTTTCAAAACTACTTAAAATGACCCATCTTGACCACAAAGGTATGTTTATTTTATATTTTATAAGCCGCATAAGTTTTGACTGCATTCAAAATCTACATAAAAATCGTAAAATGCTTATATGTAATATGATTGAGTGATTCTTAAATTTAAAAAAAAATAAGTAATCAGAAAGTATTCATTGATTTAGAATTAATATTTACTTACTTGAGAGTAATACATTTTCTTTTTGAAGCTTTTCATTTTCGAGATGAAGGGCGTCGCATTTTTTCCTAAGACATTCTGCAATAATCTTTGTCTTTTGGTCAAGTCCTTTGTTTGCATCACATTTTTTCATCACTTCAGCATGACTTTTTCTCAGATTTTCAAATTCACTGAAATATGGGGGTCCAAAGTAGATTTTAATATGGAAGATAAGAGATAAAATATTTTAGAGACCCTGAACTAGCTATCCAAGCAATGTCAGGGATCAGTAATAGGTGCATTTTACCTACGGGGTCTTATAGGATGGGTGAGGGGGGGCTTTAAATTTTGAATTTCAGCATGACTTAATTTAAGGACGACCCTGAATTAAAATTGACAAGCGATTATTTGAGCTTTTTCTTTGGCTGATAATGACAGGTGAAAGATAGTTGCACGGTTTGCTAAGAAAGTTTGGCTAAATACATCTCGTTAGGTAGTGTAGTAGACCGCTCAACAAGTTATTTCAATTCCAACTTGTTCTCTCTCATTAAACAATGTCTAAGTTAAAAAAACCGTTCTCTAAGAACTGAAGCATTTGAGGAATTATGTAGTTTAGCTGATGAAGGTCTTGAGATATTTAAATATATAAACTGAGCACTGGAAACTGTTTCAGACTCACCGTTTTAAGACAGATGTGTCATGGTCTTTTTTTTCTTTTTTTCTTTTTAGTTGTGATGTTCCTTCCAGAATTGCAATATTACTTCCCTTCAATTCCTCAAGTTGGCGATTTAACTTCATGTTTTCTCTCTGAAAACATTCAAGCATCCATTTATAGTTGTGCAATAAGATCAAAGGCTTTCATACTTATGGACTGCTCTGCCCTCCGATATCTCCAATCACAGATCTATCTACTCCCCTACAATCAACAGAAATACAAACCCACTTACATGCGATGAACCCAATATTAGTTATTACTACCAAAATTCTAAAACTCTTCACCTCTCTTAATTTAAAAATCTAAATTTTCGTATATACTCCCATTTTCAAAATTATCTGTACAGATGTTAATAGCAAAGCTTGCTCCGTCTTCAACAGCGTGTGAGTTCATACCCAAACTTCAAACCCCTGCGTCCCCCAACCTTGAGGGCCAAGTAGTTCTCCCTGCACGATTTTCACTTAATAGAGATGTATCAGACCCATTGCTTTTGCGGGTATGCAGGGGCACCGGTGAACATGCCATCTGAAGAACTCCAGGTTGTCTGGAAATTCACCAGTATGGGTAGAACTACAAACAAGTTCCAGGTTAATTTGATTTTGTCCAAGAAGAGGATCGTTTACTCTCACCAAATTCTAAATGTTCTCAATTTTAAAATGCCCAAAAAATTTTGATACTTGCAGCCACTGACCCAAATAGCACAGATTGCAATAACAACACAAGTCGTAATTTCATAGTAAAAATAGTACAATTCCACTGAGTGTTGTGTATGTTGCCTAGTGCCTATTTGAAGGGGCCTCATTTGTTGAAACTTGTTGTAACAAAATAAATTGAAAGAAGTTGCAATTTTTCATTGCATTGCATACCCACTGCCTAGGTATCTTTCTGACACAATACATGTAGCTCATTTTGTTGATTGTTTAAAATCAGCATGAATCAACTAAATAATGTAAAAATATTGCAATTTAATGGTAAAAAAATGACAATTTTATTGAAGTTAAATTGCAATTTACTTTCAATATTTTTGTTGCACTGTGCTACTCAGGAGAAAGACCAATTCTCCGAATTATATTCCTCACCACCAGGTCTTCTGCTGAATTTACTTAGGTAGATATTTTTTACAAAGCTTTCTCGGCAGCTATAAACTTTAATTCCACGAATGTCCAATTTAAGTATCCAAGAATTATGATTTGGGGCCTACAAAAATATGAAATATGATGGATATAAAATGAGGTGAAAAAGGTACGTAAAACCTTTAAACTTATAATCGATAGAATACAAACCTGGATCTGTAAGTTCAGTTCTCGTAAGGCGATTGTTTCTCGATCTTTAGCCTCGTAAGCCACTTTTTGATCGAGGGTTGTACTGACATTTAAATTCTGCAACTTTGCTGCAGTATCCTTCAAAATATCCATTTGTTTCTCAGTAACTGACAGCTGATGTCTCAAAACTTCCAGCTCCTGCCTTAATGCTAGGTTTTCTGTTGAGAGATTTTCATCATTTTTTCTCAAGTTCCGCACGAGATTCTGCAACATAATTACGATAAGTCAGGGATGCAAAATGTTCCAAAACGTTGCCCATTCCTTGCAACCCAGCAGATCCATCAAGGCAAATACAAATAAAGTATGTTGGGTATGCAATTCATGAACAGAATGAACCCCCTCCACCACCCACCCCGTGCGGCGTCAAAATCTTGACGGCCGAGGGGCGGAAATAAAATGAATCCGGCCACGACTATGTCACATGAAGCTAAGTCAATCACATGTAAGTAGGGCAATTGAATAGTATTGGCCCTTGCAGATTGGAGCTGACTTTCACAATAGTCTTTTTTCCTTCGATTTTTAGAATTATTTCAATAGTGGTGGTAGTCTAACAAATGCTGATGCTCCGAAACAAACTAACAACGTAAATACGGTGTGAAAAGTGCGTTTACTCTATATTGTCACTCCATCTCAAATCTTACAGATGTTGGTACTAAAATCAAAGCCATAGAACCAGCAAAACATGGGTCGTGAAAGTTCTTACATTATTACCAAACCTCAGTGATTATACTTACCTTCTGCACTTGAAGTTCGGCGAGAAGTGAATTCATTTTATTCAGTGCTTGATTAGTGGAGATGGACATTTTTATGCTGTTATTGCTTGACTCCTTCACCATCTGAAAAATGCAAACTTATACTTGGGAATCTCTGAAAATTCTCTCACATATGGTTTTAAACTATGGAATGAGAGACCGAAGGTAAAAGTCAATCGATGGGAAGAAAAAAAATCACCGGCTGCTTTCTTCACGAACTTAACCACTTAGGTATCTAACTTAACCATACCATGTGCTTATTGTACTCTATGGCTTATACCGGCGCGGCGAGTCGAGTGCTGCGTTGCGCATGCGCTACGGGTTAAGTACGGGCACGGGCGCCATGCACTTCATGGATGAGCCATTCAAAACAGAACAGACCAATGAGAGACCAAGAATTCGTCATCGTATGTACTCGGAGTACAAAGCCTCACGAATGCGTGAGTACTCTGTAGTGAAAGTGTTGCCAGATTGTGTGAGCAAAGGACGGTAGAGTAGAAGTCGGCCGTGAAAACATGATCAAAAACTCGATTCGATAAGGATTTCGTAATTCACTATCCTTACGTGCTTATCTTACGTGGTACGTAAAACGAATTAAACTCTTCTGCAAATGCAATTCTACTCTTATAGGTACTAGAGAGCGTTTTCCGTCGAAATCTAAGAGTTTGGTTTGTTGACTCCACTCGGCGGATATTATGTTGAGTAGACTGATGTTCTTTTTTTCGCGAACTTTTAAATTTTGATCAGAACACTTTACAAGTCAAAGAGTCAACCCCCTCCTCCTTTTTTTGAGGAAAAATTTCCTTTTGAGAGAACTTCAATCGTTCGTTGAGAGAGTATGCAGCAATAGAAAGTTGGACGCGTATTTTAAACGAAAGAAATAAGAAGCACTTTTTTGGTCATTCCATAATAAAATTTGACACGTTCAAATTGGAATTCGCTCATAGTGATTATCCAGTGAAGCTATGTACCTATACGAACTATAAGTTTATCAGTATCATGTTTACAATTTTACCGTCGACACTTCGACAGCAACTAGGAAATTCCGACGGTAAATTTACGCCAGTTAATCACTTTTACGAATGGAAGTAAATTAAAGCAGCTTTCGCCGCATCCGCAATTCTGGATTCCGTGCTCATACACATGAGCAGACCGAACAGAGCAACTCACTGCGGAGCCATTTCTCTGGGATGGCGGGAGGGGGACATTGCGCTCGAGAGCGTCAATTTAAATTTCGCGCTCTCTGGCTGTTGACTGATGATTCGGCATTGATTGTTTGGCTTTTAGGTTAGGTCTCCACATGGTGGCATGTTTCGTGTTTATTTTTTGGACTGCATGAGATCAATGAGATCTATTTCTGTTTTTTGGAAGGGTAATGAAAGTGCTCCTATTAAAGTTTTGCAACCAATATCAATTTTTGAATCCAGTGCGACCATTTACTCTGTTAGTTTTATTATATCATGCAAGATAAAAAGAAAAAGCTACAATTTTATAAGAAGAAGAAACCTCTCATCAGCGAGGATGATAAGATTCAAAGGCTCACCGAAGCATACAATGATGTAAGTTCAATTGATATTCCCTCGCGATTTGCTATGATTAGACTTTTACTTACTTGCATTTTAAGCTTCATTCCAGGCTGGGGGTGATAGTATTTGGCGGCATGGCTTAGTGGTAGTGACCAAATACCGAAAACTTTGAACACTGACAGGTTCCCCTCGTTGTCAGCAATATTTGTTTCTTGCTAAAAATTTGACCTGTGCAACTATCGGAATCAATATAGCAAAATTATTGAAAGCTTTGACCAACTTTTAATCAGTGCAGTGTGCTGACCCTTCTACAAAAACCCAGTGCGTTCCTGAGAATTCTGGAAATCTCTCTAAAAATTCCGGGGCGCAAAAAGTTCTAGTTCCTAGTCCACAGAAATTCCTATTTTGAAGTAACTGGGGCTGAATTCTCAGTGGTTGAAGTTGCAAAGCTAAGCCCAGTCCATGTATTCTTAAGTCTAAGCACCAAAAACCAGTGTATAGTCTTTTTTCTAGTAAATAGTCTTGCTGAAGATTTATTTAACTATACAGGAATATTAACCTTTAAAATTCACATAATACTTTTTATTATTAAATGAGGGGCTTGGAGGACAAAACGTGTAAGTGCAGGTTTGGCTATTTTGAGAAATATGTGTTTGAAGTTGCGGAATTACATTCATGTATCCTCATGACGGAAAGAAAGTTCAAACTGACTTCTTAATGCTTGAAAATTCGAATTTAGGAGCGAATCTTTCACAGAATATGCATTAAGGCTAGTTTTACTCGAAATCATTATTATCTCGATTTTTTAAAAATTGCACTTCCGCGTCATGTTCTCTGAGCCCCTCAAATAGTCTACCTGAGGATTTTTTTATTTCTCAGGAACTTCAACCTTTAACATCCTATTGAAGTTGTGCCTTTACTTCTAGCAAAGCTTTATCCCATTTTTCATACTTTTTTATTCACAATAATTTGTCATTTTTTCTTTCAGATCGATGTCTCGAAAGTCACCCTCTTTAAGGACTTACCTTTGTCAGAATATACTAAAAAAGGGCTCTCAGAAAACAAGTATTATAAGATGACAGAAATTCAGCGACAAACAATTGCTTTCAGTCTGCAAGGCTGTGATATCCTTGGTGCTGCAAAAACAGGCAGTGGTAAAACGCTTGCCTTTTTAATTCCAGCCCTGGAACGCCTGTATTGCAAAAAGTGGTCACGAGACTTAGATAATGTCGGTATTTTGATTATCACACCAACCAGGGAGTTAGCTTATCAGATTTTTGAAACTCTGAGGAAAGTTGGAGTCCATCACAATTTTTCTGCTGGTCTGATTATTGGTAAGTCAATCTGAACAGACTGAGGTTTTTACCATCTGAAAGTTTCAATTTTTCATGCATTTCTTATTAATTTTTGCGAATAACTTCACAATTTAGCCCATCTTTTCGCCAATTATTACTGTAGTCCTTCTTAGAACACTCATTTAATGCCAGTATGAAGAAAATATAAGTATTATGATTGCTTTCAGATAACTTAAGTCATGATTTTTAGCATTTGATTATGTATTGATAATTTTAATTACACTCTTTTTTTCAAGAGAAATTTTTGAGATGCTCTACCTCTCTACCTACAGTATCTTTTATAACTTGTAAAAACTTTGTTACAGGAGGAAAAGACTTAAAATTTGAGCGGAAAAGAATGGATCAATGCAGTATCGTGATTTGTACTCCAGGTCGTCTGTTACAGCATATGGATGAAAATCCTTTATTTGACTGCACAAACCTTCAGGTATGTCTGTAATCTAAGCATATTCACAGAAAAGTAGCGATGGGGCTTTTACACATTTTTTTTTTAAAATTTCTTTCGGAAAGTAGGTAGGTAAAAAAGTGGAATGCTTGTATTCCTCTGTTCTCCACAAAATTCAATTTCAGGTGAGAATAAGACTTGCAGAGTAGCCAAAAACCAAAGCCCATTTTGTATGGCTGTGCATTCTTTAGCCTGCAATCACTTCTTTACTGTCAGGTCGCAATTGTCACGAGAAACCATGTATCTTGATCATACCTGCAATATTATCGTTATCTGAAGTGAATATATTTAGACATAAAGTGGTGATTTTGCCATTTGCGATAAATTCTGTTTCAACTGAAATTCTCAATATGGAGAGAAAAAACTGAATATTTTTGTTGTTCTTTTGAAATGAAATAATTTGTTTTTGATAGGAATCGAAGAGCAACCATGTTGCATTGGAATTTAAGATGGTTGAAACCATGAGTCGTTCCCTTGTATGATACTATAAGCTTCAGGCCAACTTTAAGGAATAAAGAGGTTTTGAGTCTTTTAACTTCGGAAACATGTTTCTCGCTAAAATTTACCTCAGGAAAATCTGTTTTGAAGACAATTCTCGGATCTCTCCCCAGATCCCAAGTTTGACAGTGACCTAAAGAAGTCAAAGTGCACATTTCAGTATTCAATGCTGATCCATACCTATCAATACTTTTTTGTTCGCTTTTGCCTTTGCCACCTTAAATATTTTCATTTTTGCTTTGTTTCCTATAGTTTTAGATAGAAAAACTCAAAATAGAATGTTAGATTCAACCCCCCATAAAAAGAGTCTAACTCTCTCATGAAATTAACCAATAAAAAATGTAGCCTCGCACCTTGGTTGTAAGGGGTGGAAAATTAGGTACAGGAGAGTAAGTATGTGTTTTCATGCTGATATTTTGTAAAATTCTGAGAGCTTCCAAATTTTCTCAACCTGGTGTTACAATAAAATGACAAATAATCAAATAAAATTTCCCTAAAGGAACGATTCAACATTATTTTTCAAAGAAATAGCTCTCGAGTTTTAATTTTTCCTACCTTTTTGGAAGCACCCTAAGTACAGTTCTGCATTTTTAGTAGTATTCCTTGAAAACAAGATTTAGGATTATTCATTTATTTTTTGTGTTCACAGATGCTTGTTTTGGATGAGGCTGATAGGTGTCTAGACTTAGGATTCCAACAGACTTTAAATAGCATCATCGAAAATTTACCACCTCAAAGGCAGACCCTCCTTTTTTCAGCAACTCAAACTACGTAAGTGTCTTTCGCTAGTCAGTTTTATTATTCATATAAGTGGCACAATTTTTTCAACTGGCAGAAATTTAAGCTTTTACTCGTTCAGTAAATTTTGAAAAGATACCAAAATGGAATCACTGGAAAAAATCTCTACATATGTTTGAAACAAAAAAAAATTTGAGAGCTGGTCACAGAAATAGACCTACAATGAGTCATATTTCTGAGTTTTGACTCATATTTTTTTATCTACCTAACTCCCAGAAAAAGAGCCTCTGCTCACTTTGCTGCCTCTTTAAAGGCTTGCATAGTACGAATAAACAATTTTCCCCTGATCGTTCCCCTGTTTCCCCTCGCAATATGTCTTTAATAACTTTTTACTTTTTTTGGCCTCCTGAACAATGCCGCAATCTAATTTTTCAGATCCGTTAAAGATTTGGCTCGGCTAAGTCTGAAAAATCCCAAGTTCATTTCCGTACACGAAAAAGAGCAGCACAGTACTCCTGAAGGCCTTCGCCAGAGTTATGTTGTTTGTGAATTGCACGATAAGCTCAACATGTTGTGGTCTTTCATCAAGAGTCATTTGAAAATGAAAATTTTGATTTTCATGTCCAGTTGCAAGCAGGTAATTCTTTGTTACATTCTATCCCTCTCCATGTCTGTCTCACCTCTGATAGTTTTCTCTCTGCTACTCAAAAGAAACGGATGGATGTATTACTATTTCCTGTCATTTTTAAACTCAATTTTAAATGGTCTGTTAGTCGTATAGGACTCAAGTCGAAAGTCCTAAAAAGGTTGCAAGTTTTGTCATTTGCGGCTGAATTATATGTTCACTAGCCACTGACTGATCAGGCACAGAGAAATCTGTGTAGGAAAGTAAACATAAATGACAAGATAATGTATCTAGTTTTAAGGCAGGAAGGAATTCTTTCAAGTGCCTCACTTTCAAAACAATGAATATGCCTCAGACTGATGGATGTCTTATTCACTTATCGATAGCCAACGTCAGAAACCACCATCGCTATTGTGTTGTTTCAAAATTTCTGCTCTTTCTTTATTTTTTTAAACATAAAAGAGCCAACTTAAAAGCTTGAAATTTACATAGAATATTCTGCTAACAGTGAAAAAAGGCAAGAAAGTTCTCAAGACATTATGTTGACTAGTTTTTTAGAGGGAAAAGAAATAAAAGGAAGTATACAAGGTCGGAAATAGAGGTACATGGTTTCGTTCTTTCGCCATCGATAGGTATTAAATGAATTTAATCTTCCTGCATTATCAAAAAATCTTATTTTAATTTCTTGGAAGGAAAGCAACCAACATCCTCACCCAAAAATTATTGTAATCTTCCTCACCCATACAAAGGTTATTTCCACAAAATCTTAAACAAAAATGTTTGTTGGTCTCCTTTAAAAAAATTAAAATAGGAGATGACATTTTGGAAGTAAAAAATAAATACATAATCATAAAAGCGAATTTTATGGTTGTAGATGAGTTATGGAAACACCGCAATGTAGATCTGAATGTTTTGCTCCACTCTACCCAATTCCAACGTAAAAACATGTATTTTTTACAGTTTTATTCTTTAAATTTTTTTTCAATTAGGTCAAATACATTTATGAGTTATTCTGCCGTCTTCGACCGGGTACAAGTCTTTTGGCCCTCTATGGATCTTTACACCAAATGAGAAGGATGAAAATCTACGATGAATTTCATCGGAAAGAGAGAGTCATATTATTTGCCACTGACATTGCAGCCCGTGGATTAGGTATGGTCCAATGCTCTTACTTTTTTTTCGAATCCTAGAATGTAGTCAAAGTGAGTCCACAGGGAAGGAGACTTGAGCGGACATTGGTTTAAACTTCAAGGCTTATTTGAGAGATAAATGAAGTTGCACAACAACGGTGAAACTGCAAAAATATGAATGTTGACTTCGGTGTTTCAAAATCTTTGCTCCTATTTTATTTTTTACAAAGAGGCTGAATCAACGCCATGGCTTGAAATTTTCACAGAATATATTTCTAATAGAGAAGAAAAATCACTGAAGTTTTTTTGAAATGAAGGCGAGTAGTTTTTTATTTGGAAAATAAAGCATGACAGGAAGTCTGCAAACCGAGATACGCATCTCTGCAGTTCCACCATTGATAACCAAAGCTGTGTTGTAATGAACTAAATTTCTATCAGCCAAATTTGATCCAAATTATTTGGGACCCATTGGAACAAATTCAGATTTTACCTGTCTCAGGACAAGTAGATTTTCAAGTATTCTATTTGTACCATTGTCTTGATTTTAGCCTTCACGTAGGACGAAAAATAGCCCTGCTGTAAAATTGGAGGCTTTCAAGTCAAGTTAGATACTTTCTTTTCTTTAGGTAAGAATGTAGGAGCTTTTGCTCCTTGGTAACCTGTTGCTAGTACCACTTGCAGAATTAATTTCTCAAAAATTATTTTAGAATAGGTCCAGTCTCATTCCAGCTTATTTCAATTAATTTTAAAATAAATGTGTTTTATTTAAAATAAATTTATTATTTATTCTGTGCCTCAGAATGCTATTTGTGCTCTACTGTACACTTATTTCTTTTTCACAAAAGAATCATCCGGCCCCTTAAATTCTGTATTCTTGTTGAACGGTGCTTGCTACATTGTGAATCTCTCCATTATGAAAAATCAGTCGGCCCGTTGCCAATTCGTTACTAAGAGAGAGTACTGTATTTGAATTTTAATAGTGTCAAGAATAATTATTGTTCTTCAATATTTTTTCTTCTTTTTTTTTTTTTAGATTTTCCCGCTGTGAATTGGGTTGTACAAATGGATTGTCCTGAAAATGCAAATGAATACATTCATCGCGCAGGTCGCACTGCAAGATTCAATAAAAAAGGTGAAAGTTTGCTTGTGTTGTTACCCTCTGAAAAACCGTTTCTTGAACAATTGGAACAGAAAAAAATACCAATCAAGGAAATCCAGTAAGTAAAAAATAAAAATATCAACTCAGTATATTTCAAGTTCACATCATAACATATGTACAATATATATATAAGAATCTAAATTTTTGTTTTTGCACTCACCCTTCATATTTTCTGTAAAGACATTAACAGCCTGGGGTGCTGAATGTCACGAATGAAATTAACTAACCAACTCATGTATCATATATTTATACAACAAATGTATAATATATGCATAACATACATAAATACGTCTTACCTTGTTGTCAAGCAGTGGCTCATACACGTGTGGTTTTTAATTTTTTGTTTGTTTTATCTGCAGTTGAAAAAAGGCATGTTAATCCTGAAACGTCCTATCAAATTGCTTTTAGTCACAGTCAGTACCCCGTTTCAGTGGTTTTATTTCATATGTATAACATACAAATAATATATGTATAACATACAAATAATTTACGTCTAACTTGCCATTGCTTTGATATTCCTGCAACCTCTTGTTGAAAATTATTTTCTATTTAAATGTATTTCCTAATAACAGAGTCTATAAGGATCTTTTTGAGGACTTCTAGGCATAATTAAAGAGACCAATTTTTCAGGTATTATTGAATAAATTACAAACGAAATTTTCTGAATTCACATCGTATCAGAAAGACATTCTCCAAATTTTCATACGGTATTCTTCCTGAAGTTGGCAATATGATAACACTCAAGATTTCTACTTTGCTCAACTTTTGTCTATCTCTCCCTAGGATCAACACCAATAAGATGACATCCATCCAACGATCAGTGGAAGCTGCTCTGGCTCGTGATGCAAACTTGAAAGAGACCGCTCAGCGAGCTTTTGTGGCGTATGTCAAGTCTGTTTTTTTAATGAAAAACAAAGAAGTTTTTAATGTTCATGCATTGGATACAAATGCTTATGCAAGGTAAACACATGATATCCCTTCTAGTTTGCAACTTCCTGCGCATCTACAATGGATACCTTGGATCTCATTTAGTCGGATTCTTCAGTGTTTCCAACTGAAGGATCTTCAAGGGTTTTAAAGAAAAAAATATGTAATCTTCTTGATAATGTTGGGAAAGTGTCACATCTCAGGGCGTAATTTGAGAGACCCTGTTAAATAGTGTAATAAATTAATTTTTAGATAGCACCCTTTCAAATCTGAGGTGCCAATTTGTTTTGCATAGCTGAGAGTTATATCTGTCTTGTAGGTTTTCAAATTTCAACTATCTCTTAATTATTTTAACAAATTGCCTGTTATAGAGCTTTGGGCACATACTTCCTCAGCACCACTGCGTGTGTGTCCCCCCCCCCCCCAAAAAAAAGAAAGGAGATGCTTTCTCCCGCCAGAGCTATACCAGTTGTGAACCATAAACACAAACACGGTTTCGGCTGCAAGGTAGCATTCAACGAAAGCGGTCAAAGGTACAGTAAGACCTCGATTTAGCGGATTTCACGGAACCGGAGGCTGAATCCGTTAAATCGCAGAATCTGCTAAATTGCGCTAGTCGGTCTTGCTGAAGGGACCGGAGGATTGATCCATTAAATCACGGAATTCATTAAATCGCGATCCAATAATTGGAGGTCTTACTGTAGTAGCAGAATCCTTCAAGATTGGTTGATACAACCGGTATGGCAGGCATTGGCTCCAAAGAGTATTTAGAATTTTTTGTACCTGAATATGAGATCCTCCGAGAACACTCTTGAAATAGCAATAAAGAAGCACATCGAAATTTATGGAATGTAATGATTAACCATCCCTCAATGTAGTAAAGTGTAACAGTTGGTGGCAGAAATTTTGTAGTTTCAGCATTAATTCAGCGTTCTGCAGAAAAATTTTTTAGCTCAAAAAAAAAAGTTGACAATGTGAATTGGTTCTAACTTTTTATCTTTGCAGATCTCTTGGATTAGCTATGCCTCCCAGGATAAGATTCTTGCAAAGGATAAAGAAGGAATCCAGCGATCAGTCAGAGGAAGTCAAGGTCGAATGCCTACTTGCTGATGCAAGGGCCAAAACAGAGGTAGAATCAGAAGATGATTCTAAAGCGTTTTCAAAAGCTGATGAATTTCAGCTGGATTCAGATGTAAATAAGAGAAAATTGAGGCAAGATCTGACGAAAGAAGTGTACAAATTTTATGACAGTAAGTTCAATATCTCTCTCTTTCTTCCTTTCTTCATTTATCTCTAATTTTACTTGACTTAAATCAAGTTTGACTTGACAAGTTTTAAAATAAAATGATATAAAATAAATAAAAATGAAAAATAAAAAGAACAGTAATAAAGATAACTAGCAAAAAAAAACCGACACGGGCTTAAGAGACATTGAACAGATGATATCTGTGGCAAAGGAAATACTGGTTTTAGGTTTTTTGGCAAAAAAATCTCTAGAGATAAAAGATATAAGGAGTTCCTTGAAATTTTTCCATTTCTTCATTCTGCATCTTCTTTTAGTCTCTGAAAGGGTTCATTCTCTTTGCCCAGAAATAATAAGTATTGCTCATTTTCAGCAATCCTCCTTTTCTACTGATTTTTTTAAGCCTGAACGATCCTGTAAGGTTATTTTCAAGATGTAGCAAGTTGATGGTGAAACTGTAGTGAGATGGTAAAACCATCAATTCATCTATAGTTGGATTTTTATTTTCTTTCCATAGGTGGTAGTGAGAGTGATGAAGATTTTATGTCTATAAAGCGGAGAAATCACGAGTTAGAGGATGAAATTGAAAAATTAGTTCCTGATCCACCATCCAATGATCAGAGTAGCAAAAAGAAGAAGCCTATTACCAAAGCATCCCTTGCAAAGAAAATTCTTCATAAGAAAATTATTCCAAACAAAAAGATTGTTTTTGATGACGATGGCCAAGTAAGTTGACTGAACCATGATACTACTAATTTTAGAAGCTATTTCACTTTTGAGTCTTGCATCTCCAATGTTTTCTTTATGGAGACTGGGCCCAGCATTATTTCACAATTTTTGCATTTGTTACACCCCCAGAGACTTTTTCTACAAAAAAAAAAAGAACGAACAGGAAACATGTCTGTTTTATGGATTGCGAGGATACTTTTTGAGTCCACCTGGTTTTTCCACCTCTTCCTCTTCAGCTTTTTTTTGCATCTAAAAAAACTCGAAATCTGACTGAGTTGCAAAATATGCTTGAAGATATGTATTTTGAATCTTTGTAGACAAAGTTGACAAAATCTTTGTACAGAATAAGTGAGCAAGTAAACAAAATTTGCATGTTAGTTAGCATAGTTTTCAGCCATCTACTTGGATACCAAGAATTTAGACTGACTAACTGCTGCACTATGTGTCAACGGCACTTAGCTTTGCAAAATTATAATTTAATTTTTTTAACTGAGTCGGTGAAAATGCTTAATTATTTATAAATACATAGTTATGTACTTAGAAATGCTCAACTTTCCTTAAAAACTACTCGGACCCTTCAAAATCTTTTTTGTTAACTTTTGTTTTTCAAGCTGGCTGAAACCATATATTTAATGTAAAATCTTTATCTTCGATGATTACATTATTGAAAGACCTCAAAATTTTTCCTTTTATCTTTAGTTGCTTCTTTTTGAACAATTTTTAACGCTTTTCGGCTCCGGTTTTTTCCAGGTAATAACAAACCCAGCTCGAGAACGTGTTACTGAAGCAGGCCTTGAGTATGAAGCAAGTAACGAAGGTGGTCTGAATATTGACCAAGCTGTTGCAGTAATGAAAGAGGAGGATCTAGTTGATAAGAAACTCTTCCGTGATAAAATTAGAGCTAAGCGTTTAAAAGAAAAGGCCAAAGCTAAAAAAGCGGAAGTTGAAGAGGTCGATGATTTCGGAGAAAGTGAAAGTGATGATGGGCCTGACTTATCAACACTTCCTGATCCGGATAAACTCTATGGTCCCAAAGGCGATAGTGATGAAGATGAAAATAGCGACTACTCCAATGATGATGATGATTCTGACAGGAAATATCCTGAAAGCGGTAGCAGTGATGAGGAATCTAATGACTCGGATGATATTCATATTTCAGCGAAAGATTTAGAAGAATTCTATGGGTGAGTGTTGTCCAAAATACTATATATATCCCTGCAGTGTGTGTGGTAAAAACAATATTACTTATATTTCTGACGTGTCTTTGAGTAGACAGGGTTTTTACTGCAAAAAAGAAGATTGCCTGGACAACTGCTGAGGAGTCAACAGCGCTAGCTCTCGTCTGCAGATGATTGAATGTGTTATCTTTTTTTAAAGTTTGTCTGCTAGGATACGTACATAACTTTTATTCTATTTCTGCTTTTATCACATGCCGGATATGGCGNGGGGGGGGGGGTCGGGCAAACAGGGCATATGACCCAGTCAAAGAAAGAAGAAGCCTTTAATCCCAGGACTAATAATTGCAACTTTTCTTTTTTTAAGTATCCATGAAATGCTTCTCCCAATTTAGTATTCGAAGAGAGAAGCTAAATAAATTTCTAAAAGGTTTTGCTCTCAAATAAATATTCCTATAAAATGTTTAGTCTCAGCAAGGTTTATTTATTTCATAACTTTTCTAGTGTTATCACTCAGTGGGATCAATTTAACCTCAGATTTGATGAATGAAACTAATTTTGTTCTCTATCGCTCTCTTTCAGATCACAAAAGAGAAAATTGGAAGCTGCAACTTCAAAAAATATGAAACGAAGGAAGAAAGTAGATCCTAATGTTGAGTTTGAACCAATGGATACAGGACTTAGTTTAACAGAAGACGAAGAACTTGCTTTGAAATTCCTCAGAAGCAAAAGATGACACCCATGAATGCCAAATTTCTGATTTGTACAAAGATAGTAAATATTATTGAAAAAGAAGATACATATGTTCTGTTACTTTTGAAATGGAATAAATTCAAGTATTTTTCTTACATCTAGCAGTTTATCCTCCAACAGAAGTCAGTATATTAGAACATAACTACATATAGGCTGTTTGCGTTGCTAGTCGAAAAACCAGGCACCATTGATTTGTGCATTCATGACCCCGAAGTTTGAATTCAAGAAAAAGCTTACTTGAATGTTTTCTTCAGAATTCCTGATTCCATTTAAGTCGAGTCTTGCGCTTTCAAACAATCGACAGTGCAAGCTCCTGTTTCAAGACAAAATCTGATCTTGGTACACAGCTCGTCCGAGAAGAAAGTAGACTGATACTGCCATTTCAAAGCTATTAAAGCTGGATACATTACTGTCATCATAACATGATGGCTCATCTTAAACATAAGATCTTGAGGTTCCAATTTAAAACAAGATTTGCTTATTTCCACAATTGATGCAGATAGACAATTTTAGGGAAGGGTGATATATATGCTGGCATTCGCAAGTCTTTTAAAAGAATGTAATTTTAAAAACCTAGTCCACAAGTTTGATTTTTCATTTTCACAACTCTCTACATCCATTTGAAGCCAGGTTGTTTTTCAAATATTTAACATTGTACTTGATGCACTCTCTCATTCAACAATGCCAATTTTAGAACGCAGTTTTATGGAATTGCTCCCCTGAGATCTCAAAATAAATTTCTTGACAGTCAACTCGATATCCTTATTTCATTTGATTCCCCTACTGAGTAGCTACCTCTGGTGGATCTGGAACACTGGAACTAACAATTTAACAATTCTCGTGTCCTTTTTGTTCTCTCCGAGTAAAAATGCTGACAAAAACATGTAGAAATGATTTCAAACTTGCACTCAGCGCATTTTTTTCTGCGTTCTTTTGGAACAAACAATGGAATTTAAACAAAACAGCAGTTGTTAGAAATGTGGTTCTTTGTTAAAGAAAATAATATCAACGTTTCCCTTTTAATGAACAATGTGTTTAATGAGTTTGCCGCCTTAAATTCGAGTCGACAAATACTGTCATACTAAAACAAAAAATTCTAACATTTTGGTAAGAGAGAAAATTAATGAGAGGAGATTTCAATAATGTTCATAAGAAAATTTATTCAAGATTCAACTGCACTTAAATAAATAACTTACAAGATAATAAAAAATTTGAAAAGTTGAAAAAAGGAAGATATATACAAAAAAAAGGATCAATGATTACGGTAATTGACTTCATTTGGCTTGACAGAATTCACGAAGGGCAAAAGTCATTAAAGTATTAACAATGAGCAGTAAAACAAGCTTGATTTTACAAATGTTCACCTTCAAATCCATTTGATAAATCTTTTCATGATAACAAAGTGAGAAAGAATATACCTTAAATTTGAGCAGATATAGAAAGCTCTCAATTAATAAAAGGATATCTCTGATCCCGTATCAAATAATTTGTGAAAACTGTTTCCCTAATGCTTATGAAAATCAGTCAAACAAGGAGATACAAATATTTGGATTGCGCATATCGAAAGGAGGCAACTTTTCTGACTACATACATAACATTAAAAACTGCACATGGGGTACTAATTACAATGTGCAAATAAAAGCCTACTTAAATAGGTCAATACTATAGTTGCATATTGACAAACGCTGTCCAATGCATTTCTCAATTAGTCAACTTTTTCATTGAACACTATGCCATTCAAAATACAGGTGTAAGCTATCGTGAAACTTGAGAGGCATGTAGATGAAATGCAAATTGAGGGATTTAGATATCATAAATCTGTATCTTCACATTGCCAGTTATAAGCTTTTCATTCTATTACTTTCAGAGTCGGAAGTTAAGCACAGCACCACAAAAACTCAATCATCAGAATTGATTTCAAAAAGAACTGTTTTTAAAAAGTCAACACTGTCAAGGGACCCAAATGAATTTTGAAAGTGGATACCAGTACCTTGATTCTAGCACCCTAGGTTACAGTAATTCTACATCGTTTCAATGATATTCAACTGACACACAATTTTAATATAATGTGATCTTTGGGTTTTGCCTGACAAAACTTGATCCTAAATTTTACTCCTGGCGGAGGGCATTCAGATTTTAAATTTTCCATTATTACTTTGACTCAGAGTTAGATTCTTCGTCAATAAGGAATGGTAAAAAAAGATACAAGAAAAATGCTTCTGCTCACCTCTATTCTTATAATGATAGTTCTAGCTTGCAAACAATTAATCAAATCTTCTGCATTCTTTAAAAACTCGACCTATCAATTTAGAAATATGAACGCTTTTCTAAGAATTCTGTTTTTGCCATGTCTTGAAGACAAAAAAAAAAAAAAAATTTCCTGGTTGCTTCTGCGCAAACCAAAAGAAAAATGGAGCTTCCTTGATTATTCTATCTCTAATAGTTCTAAGCTCCATTTTCAGTAGACATTGCAAGAAAAATACCAAAACTATGTACAATTTTGTATATTGATTGAGAGCCACTGCCGAAACTAGTTTTGTTTTGTGAGTTGGAGTTAGGATTCTAACACCAATTTGATCGCCTGGGTTCGAACTGTGTGCCTATCAACAAGGTTCAAAGAATATGCAACATCTGCAAGCAGATCCTACATAGCAAGATAATTTTCTTACGATGGAATGACTCAATGTATGGGATTAAATATGGGGTGAAAACTTTAAATGTATAGATTTTCATCGGAATTGGACACAGGAGTTAATTACAAAATCAATTATAGATAGAAACAGAAAAAAAATCACAGCTGACACTTTTTTAATTTTTATCTTCTCTTCCAACTAACTCTTGATTTGACTCATTCTTTCAACTATTGCCAAGGCAAAGGCCTTACAGAGAATATTTTATTATGGGTAAAAATCAACTTTTCAGGTTCTGAGAATGTATTCTTTAAAATAAACCCAAAAATTATCATGGAGGTCCCATTTTTTAAGCACTGTCATTGACATAATACCCCACATCCTGTGACATAGTTGAATTGTATTGTGTCAGGTGCGTTTCCAGTATGTTGATTTTTCTTGGAGTTTCCTTAGGAAATAAGTAGTTTGCCAATACTTGACCTTCTGCGTAAATTGGATAAAAAAGAACTGACTTACATCCTAAAAACGATTTAGATTAAAAAAAAACATTTGTTCTATGACTAGTTGAACCGTAAATTTGGCAACTCATTTCAACAATTTCTCCCTTCTTTTTGTGAGGGGAATTCTTCAAATTCTCTCTACCAGTCACATGCTAGATGTGTTTCCTCTAACACTGAGAAAAAGTGAGAAGTTAAAAATCTTTTGATACATAGTAAAAAATACCAACTTTACAAAAAAAAGCAAGTTTTGCTTACCAACTGAGGAAAGAGATAATATTAAAATTAAAAGCACAAGGACTAGTGTTTCTGCCGAAATTACATTTTTACAATATCTTACGTTAATTCCCGTAAAAATGCATTGACAAACTCTACAAAACACGTCCTGATATTATCGGATCATTTCCAGGTACTTTTGTTTGTGTTTGCTGAGCATTTCAGCTACTGTGACTAATTTTTTCAAAGAAGTCTGAAACAAAAGGAAGAAGATTATTTATTTATGTAGAAGAATGCTTAATCTGTGTAAAAGGCTTTTCTGTTTGTTAATTGCAGTTTATTTTCATTTTTGATTAATCATTAAACAAGGTTCAAATTTAAGCATTTTGTACTTGTTCTCGTCAAAATTTCACGTAAAACACGATTTAGGAAACAACAATTATTGAAAGTGACTTCTGATCAATATATTGCCATTTTTCAATGAGTAAATTTAAACTTCTAGCTCATAAAAAAAATCCTGATCTACTTGAGTTAAATCACAAGCTAGACGTTACTAGGACTGCAGAGTATGAAAATATGGCAGCCTCAATATTGGTGATTCGATTCAGCCTCTGCATGATGTTTACAATTAGAACAACACAGGGCTGGAAAGGAGCACTGCTCGATTTGATTTAACCCTAATATTCAAGAGCCGATATTGTTTTGGAATTTGTAAGAGCGCATACTTCAAGGTTTGATGGTCTCAAAAAATTAGTTTCTTTTCATAGGTCTCTAGCTGTGAAAATTTCAGCATAACTTTGGAGCCTCATACACGCTATGCAAATTTGAAGGAAGCTTTTTCATTACCTGTGTTTTGCTTAGAGTCTGTAGTTCTTTGATGTGCGTGAGACAAAGATGATGCAAAGTACCAAGATCTCTAGCAGGGTCCCCTTTCTGTCTATCACCTTCTGATTCAGGCCTTTCGACCACATTCTGTAAAAAAAATTACGAAAGATAATTCATGTGTTTTAATGAACTGAACTGAAAAAAAAAATTGAGCGATGAGAAGAAATTTTCACTAATCTCTGAAAATAGCTGAAATGCCCTTTCCTTTCTATTTTGGAGTATTGTTTATCATGTCTTTCTTTCTACAGTTTTCTCGTCAATTGCTATGACGTTAACTCTTCCAATTGGTTGCATAAGTTATGTTACTGCGACAATACTGACTTATTACGTTTGTAGTTTGTTCCTTTCCGGACTTCTAGACAGCGCCTCTATTGCACAGCAGTGTAATGAAAATGCACTGTTCACAACATGATCCCTATGACCGTTTTGGCCTGGCACAAAAAACAAAAAGCCGTCACTTTAACCGCCTTGGCAAAGTATGTTTTCAAGACAACTGAAAATGATGGTAGAAAAATTAACATTCATTTAATGATGCAGATGAAGAATATGGTGACTAAGAATATTCATTAGGATGGATACAAATTGAGAGAAAGAATAAAAAAGATGTTCAGACTTTCAGTGGTTACTTACAGAAAGTTGATCAAGAAATACAACCATTCTCTCTTTGTTTTTCAAAATGAATGGGTTTACAACTTCCATGTAGGGTTCTTTTCCACCAAACTCTACAAGGTTAGCGAGGTTTTGTAGGCACTTGGCGACCATCACCAGGGATCTGCCTGCCATTGGAGGAGGTGGTTCTGAAATAACGTAGCAATGTAAATATCAATATGGTGGAAGGCAAGGATTCATTAAAACAGGGGTTAGATATTAACACCAAAATATGCAGTGCAACACTGTATGTGAAAGGCCTTGATGAAAGGGGCTAACATTGGGGGAAACCTTTTTGTACTTTGTACCCTTCGGATAATTTTTGTACCACAAAAGGGCATCGAGTTGTATTATGATCCGCCAATTCCGTGGCCTGAACATTACAGATCAGAGCTCTTGATAATTTTTTCTTAAAACAAAATTGTTTGAACTTTGAACTTTTAGCTCAAACCATTCACGATTAATTACTCAATTATTAGACAACCCACAGAGGATTCAACTAGTATATCAACAGAGGATTCAACTGGTTGATCAACAAATTATTTAACCTCAAAATTGCTGAATTCCTAGATTTTTTCAGACGTTTGATCAAAACATCAATTTAGATTTTTTCTTTTGAATACACTGACTTTAGCTGAGATATAGATGAAATCTAGCTACTATTAGCTGATGACTGAATGATCCATGTTGAGTACACCATGTCATCCATGTTGAGTGGGCTATCACCAATCTAAAGTTTTTACATCGTTGGTGCACACATTTATTCCTCCCATTTCATAAAGGGGGCCGAGGAGATATCTCTCTGGTTTTTTCTACGGGGACGTAATTAAAGGGAGAAGGTGAGAATATTTGATGAAATAAAAAAAATATGTACCTCGAAGTACAACTTTTCAAACTTCCATCCACATTTGGTTTCAACATAGGAGTAAAAATAGTTTTTAATTTGTGAATTTTTACATGATACCTATACCTACTGCTTAAATTTCTGAGGCCATTTATTACATTACATGAAATGACAAGGCGAACAAATAGTTGAAAATAAATAATAATCTTCAAGGCTCGCACCTGAAATTAAGTTGAACTGTCGAGGGTTTAACAGAGCAGGACACAAAAGCCTCAGAAAAATGAAGCCGCTGACAACTCTGGTTTTCACGAACCTCTCGTGAGGCCACTTATTGACAACGGATCTTTGCAAACAGCCACATATGTACCTTAAAGTTCTGCAGATGAAACAGATAAGCACACAAATCAAGTAAAATGGAACAGATTGTGAAAAAGTCCATTTCAAACCTAAGAAAGGAGGAGGAAAATTAATAGTACAGTCAAGAGGCAGCTGCGAGGACAATCTGAGCAAAATGAATATTGATCGTCAAAATGCAGAGACGAAATTCTGTTTCTGACTTTGCAGACTTCCTGTCATACTTTATTTTTCTATGGAGAACTATTAAATGTAACTTTGTGAAAACTTCCTTGATTTTTCTTCTCCTTTAGCAGAGTATTCTGAATACTTAAAGCTCAAAATTCGGCTTCTTTCTCTTGGAAAAAAATAAATAGAAACACAAATTTTTAAACTCCACAATAGTGATACATGGTTTCAAACTTTGGCCATCAACATCATCTACTATAAGGTAGACCTTTCATGATGAGTTACAGCTTTGGTTGTACCAATGCTAAAATCTTTGGTTGTACCAATACTGAAATCTAACAGTTATTTTAAGATTTTTATACTGTATGATCGATAACTCATCATTTGAAACTTCTGGTGTTGGCAGATCCTTTCTGCATAAATTAAGCATTGTAATTTGACCGTTTTAGGAATATAAACCATCTAGATTTCAAGCTGAGAAAAAAAATTTTGGGGTTTTTTTATAAACTTTACAATCTTGGTTTTCATTCCCTATTGGAGTATCCATTAAAGTGTAATCCATGTATGTGCAAGATGAAAAAAAAAGGGGAAAGAAAACTTACCGAGGGCATGCTTCAGCTGACATAAAAATAGAGTGAGTTATATCATCTAAAATTTGTAGTAAGAATTCGGCATTGGCACATGCTTCTTCTAACGTTTCCATTTTGCACGGGTTCAACTGTTCAAAGAATGAGAAAGAGATGGTTAAAGTAAAGTATGATTTTACCCAAAAAACGAAAATGAAAATTAACAAATAAAATATGTGAACTGATTAAATTAATTCCTATTAACACAGTTTCAAGGGAAAAAAAATCTGAATGGTGTACTACTGTCATTGGATGGATTTTCATTAAAACAAGGGAGAAAAAAATGTGATATGAAACTAGGATGTATTAGCACACAAGTCTCAATAGTAGACTAAAGAACAAAACTACTTTGAAAGGTAAGTATTTTGAAATACTTGATTCAAAAATATTCTTCATTTCTTTCTTTCTAGTCAAAATCTCTCTGCAATCTCTTTAGAAAACATTTCGCTGCCAGAGAGGGACTTACTTCACAAGATTGCTTGGAGTCCAATAGCTTTTGGATTGTGTCTTGAACGGCAGCTTGCAAGAACCCTGTGCAAACGGATTTCATGTACAGATCCATCAAGGTAGTGGGTAAAGTAGCAGCCCGGAACAGAGTTGACGTCTCTTCTTCCTTCTCGATTTCTGCATCATTTAAAGTTCTTAAGAGATCAGCTTCTTTTCTTTCATACCTTGAATTTGAACAAAAGATATGTGTCACTTTCCGCATTTCTTCTGAAGATGTGCAACAGTGGAGTTTATTCAAAAAGGATTTTCTGCGTTACTAAAACAAAAATCTGATACTTGTGAACAATTCATGCGCAACCTGAAATGGGCAGTGCTTTTTGCATGGAAAGAGGCTCCTGAATTATTGTTGTTTTCAAGAGCTGAGTATATGTTTGGAGCTGTTGATGTACTGTAAGCGCCTGCAGATGGCCCAAACTTTTCTTCAATTTCAAAGTTCAAAAATCACAGCGTAGATTACTAGCGGAACTTGTCGAAATTGCATACTAATGAGATGCTACTTATTGATGCCTGCAAGACTGACCATTGCAGTGAGAGTACATCTTACAGTCACAGGCTAGGCATAAATCATTGGCTATCAATATTTTCTAATTCAAAACTATGGTACGGAATGGACTATTGAGAAGTTTCTTGAGAACACCCTTATGACCACTTCTTTTCCAAAGGTTTATATGGCTGATGAATCGTTTCGTGACAAACCACACCTTGTCACTACTCGCAATAGACAGACTGTGTTGTAATGGGTTAAATAGATCAGTTTTGGAATTCATAAATGAATGAATTATGATCCAATTACATCGACTTTTTATTGGCATGCTACTGTTACACTATCGTGTTGCCCCCATCAACTTATTTACTTTTCCGTTCGAAAAATAAAACATCGGAAAAATTAGGCAATATCTGATGCAGTTAAGTTGATTCTGATTTAAAGTTCAAATTATTTTTCTGTCACAAATTTTTTTTTAATTAAAAAGTTAACATTTTATCAATTACATTAAAAAAGCAAAATTAAATGTTTTTAATTTTCTGTGGGACAGCTTACGTAATAGTGTATTAACTCTCAAACCTGAAAACTCGTAGAAGGGCATTAGCGAGAGGCATTCTATCGTTATGGCAGAAATCTGCCAGTGCTCTGACAGCTTCTAAATCTGGATCCAAGATAAGCTGTTGCATGGGTGAGTATTCTTCAGTCGGCATGATAAGGTCATGCAAGTAGCGAGTTCTCAGTCGAAGGGATCCCCATTCACCAATCGGAGTTATCCCTGAGAGTGGATACCAATTTTCACCCTGCCAAAATGTGCAAAAGAATATTTGAAATTTGACAAAAATGGAGCTCTTGCATGCTATAAGATTTGCAATTCCAGTACATAATCTGTTACAAAATTTAGCAGGAAACACAATGGTGTCACTGGTTTTTTTTTCAGCCAACTCCCAAGCTCAAAAAAACCTCTTAAAAGTCGAGTTGCAATGGAGAGAACCCTACACTGAGAGTCCACTTCTGCATCCAGTCAAACTATCTATGCACAGATATGGAGCGAATACATTAGCAGGGTTGCCATGGTCCCAGCCTTGGAGTTCGCAAACAAAGTGGCAACCCTGCTATTGTATTTGCTCCCAATCTGTGCATTCAGAATTTGATTGGATACAGAGGTGGATTTTCAGTGTGGCTTGGAGGATTCCCTTCATTACAGCCTCAAAGAGCTCTTTTGTAGCTTGGGAGTTTGTTTCAGAGAAAACTAGTGACACCGCCATATTTCTTGCAAAATTGTATAAAAGAAAAAACACTCAGCTCGCAAATCCCTGACTCATGCAAGAGCTCCATTGGGGAAAGGCAGTGAAAGAATTACCAGAGTTCAGCTTATTTTGATGAATCAAAATGATGAATTTCAAAATTAACAAGGCACTCCACCAAAACATTCTAAATTACATGAAAATTACATTCAATTCTTACCCATTTGTTCTTTATTACATGAAAATAATCATTGAAAGATTTTGTATTTTGTCAGCATTGAGAGGACCGAAACTATTAAAATTTTGGTGGAAAAAACATTTTTAAAATAAAAAGGCTTTAAAATTTTTGCATCCTTGATCCCAGTTTCAAAGGCAAGTCGTAAATGACTCATTCATAATTCTATGGAGAGGAAAAATTATTCCTTACTTAGCAACGGAGGCCACAATAAAGTGTCTTCCTTTCTCTGAAATTCTGACTTACCTCATCTCCGTTGGTTAAAGAGTTAAAATCTACAGTGACTTCAGCAACTTCTGTGTCTTTGGAGCGTTTTCCTTTGTTGTAAATAGAAACAGTGAAAGTGAGAACATCAGGGGGTACATCGCTGAAAATTACAAGATAGTTCAATTAAAAAAAATCTCTAGGATTTCTTTGATCCGAATTGTTTTTACAGGGTACAATTGGAGAGAGCGAAATAATAACATTAATTTAAGCTTCAAAGGATTCCATTTTTTTCCACTCTTTTTTCCACATTTGAACCGTTGCCAGATTGTCAAATAAATGAGAATATTTTACATGGGTTTGAACGGGGGAAAAGCTGAAAAAGCAGCAAGAGTCTGGGAGTGACAAGAGGCTTCCTTCATGGGAAAACTCATGATTTAGCCAGAAATCTCATTAAAACAAATTGGCTGATCTCTAGGCACTAATAAAACGACTCGTGTAGCCCACAAACATTAGAAAAAAAGAGAAGCTTAAAAAAAACAACAAATAAACAGGTAAAAATAGATGTACTCACTCGAAAACAAATTCTTCATCCCAGACTGGATCCGGTCCTGATTTATCTTTGGTTTTTGCAACTTTAACTTGATTTAAAGAGATAATACAAAAAGGATTTGGGACTAATTTATATGGTAACCTGAAATGGAGAACAACACAGATTATTATGGTAAATGAGAAGCATTCAAAGATACATATTGTATAATGGCTTGGTTGCCAAGCCTTGTCTGCATTTAAATAAATCATTGTACTTCATACTTTCTTTAATCTTTCTAATCTTTTTGATCTAGACCTCCTGACAGGTATTAACTACTGCAAAAAAAAAAAAAAAAAAAAAAAAAAAAGCTTGCCAAGACGTCCTTGGAAATAGATACGTTACAAGGAATTGAGTTTTTATTATTATTATTTCAGTGAGGATTGTAAAAAAAGCCATTTTTGGAATCTTAAGATTGAATTTACATTATATTGTATCAGACAAAATGAGCGAACAAACATGCTTCTGATAAACACTTACTGTCTTAAAGTTCTTTCTTGAAATTCTAGAAATATACTGGAGGTGTACTTCACAATCTACATTGACAATGATCATGCAATGGTGTTTTTTTTTTTTTTTTTTTTTTTTTTTTTTTATTACAAGAACGCATTCTGTCTTTAAACTACAGAATTAAAACACAACATACCAGATATATATTATTCGTACATAAGTTTAGTAATTTAAGAGATATTTTGGGTTTTCATTAGGGATTGGGATATTATTTGCCTGATTGGACATTACCTATGAGCGTTGAGGACGTGAAGCTGAAGACATCGCAGTTCACGTAGTCTCTGAACTTTAGGCGACCGTGTCATTTGAGTCACACATAAAGGTCTTAGAGCTGAGATCCAATCCTGTAATAGAAGAACAATACAAATGAATAAGAGAGTTGAAACGTATTAACAAGTTTTTCCAGTTATCAGCTTTTTATTCAGAAGGAAAGTAGAAAAATGGAATGTATTTTATGACCCTTAAAATGCTACTGGTTAGCATGATAAATAGGATACTAAAATTCTCTGCATAGTAACAGGTAATACCAACTCATTTGAAAAAATGGGCTGCTTCATTTTCTCAAGCTCTTGTCTTTGATAGAGACTGGTTCTATTAAAAGCTAAAAATGACCGATTCATTTTAATCTACGCAAATAAGTTATTTACTTAAATTAAAATCAATCAGTTGTTTTTAGCCTTTTAAAACCAATAACAACCAAGGACAAGAGCTTAAGAAAATGAAACAGCCCATTTTTTTAGAAGATATCATCACTAACAAGCGGATTGCAAAGGATTCAAGCAAATTATGTTCCAGTTCTGACTTAAGGAGAAACTCAAAATGGAAAACGTACAATGTGAAAAAACTTTTCTCTTTCCTCATCTGGGGGAAAATTTCAAGCAATGAGATAAATTATGTATGTATGATATGATCACTCACCTGAGCACTATCCGCAGTTGTGGTGGAAAGGTAAGTTATCGTTGCTAAGCATGGTAATGCTCTTTCTACGAGTTGAAAACAATTTGGTCGATCGAAGACACTATCATGTACTGAATACAAGTATGCACAGCTTAAGTCTATCAGTCCTTTTGGTTTTGTGCGCTGGAGACGGAGAAAAAGGAGAGGATATTAGTGAAAAAAGATTTTAAAAGCGTCATTAAAATACACACATGGTGGACTATTCTATCACCAATTAAAACACTTTCCTCACAAGCTATGTTTATAGAATAATAAGAAATGGCAAATAAAGTAACATCCACTAAGGTGAGACCTTGTATTGGGTGAGGGGTCTTCTCTTTTTTTCATTTCTTTAAAAGTGTTTTAAATTAATATTTAATAAACTGTAGCGTTAAATATACAAAAAATGGATACTTACTCGAGGATTCTCATAAAAGCACAAATGTGTGTCTGTCCCATCAACTATGAGGACAAAGTAAAGACACTTCCATTTTTTGTTCTTTTTACTTTTCTTGTTTAAATATCCCTGCATTTTGATACCTGAAAAGAAGAAAAACATGGATCTCATTCACATTATTGACCACATAGTATGCTACTCTCATTGCGCCTCTTATACTTTTCCACTGTTTTTATTGGAGACATGGTGAACCAAGTAAGACCAAAAAAAAGGAAAAGCTAGCTGAAGAATTGGCTCATGCTACAGGGCCAAAGGAAATCTTCATGATACCTACCTTAAAATGCAGAAGAAAAAAAAATCAAAATGAAATTTAGAATTTATCTAAAAGATTTTGGCTTTGATTGTTAAGAAAAAAGGGCAATCAAAATTGAAAAATCTTTGAATTAAAATAACGGGAAAGAGGACCTTCTTCATGGAAGGATTTGCTCCTTCCATAGATCATATGACAAAACCATGGCTACTGAATTACTGAAAGTTTCCATCAATTGGAGAGTTCATTACTCATGTTGTAAAGGTAAAGCTCTTGATTGACCAAACGTATGTGGCTTTTCGGACAGTCACAGGATGTTGAAGTCACTTTACTGATAAACAAAAATCATTCCTAAAAGGAGAAAAAAGTTATAAAAGACAAACCTTTAGTTTTCTTTAATCCTTGCTGCTCGCGACATTCTCTTAATGTGGCATAAATTTTTTCTGCATGTTGCACCTCTTTAGATTTGATTGATCCATCCATATCAGATAAATTCTGAAAACAAGCAAGATCGTGTAAAATGAAAAAAGAGGACTTCAATGGTAAAACACTTGGGAATATTCACCAGTTTTAAACAAGTGGACATCAAGATAAGTGAAAATCCGTTTGCGTCTAATTAGACGCAGTGCGTCTTATATACACTTTGGCGTTCCACTGTGCGTCTTGCGTCTAATTGCGTCTTATTCAGCAAAAGCTGCGTATAATTCTTCAAATATTGTAAACTTTTACAATTTGATGATTAAAATGCACCATTAAGTATACAAATATCACATTCTCCTCGTATGTATTTAGTTCCCTAGGCTTTTCGCTTTTGCCTTACACTAATTTACCGGGACCGACAGCTGGCGGCAACGCAAGGGCAACCCTCATGTAGTGACCTAACCTAGAACAAGATATGTGTATCTTTGGTGTTAGTTATTGCCAATTCTAATTAAAATACAAGAAAAGTTTTTAGAACTTTTACTTTTAAATTTTAAAATTACATAAATGAAGCCTTCCACCTAAAAAAGTAGAAACTCACATTTTGCCGTAAAAAACGTGAGCTTACATTTGAATATTTTGACAGGGTTTATTCCTGGGCTAGTTGTATTTGACAACCAATAACTTAATAACTAACATTTTCCAAGAATTGCACTTATGAACCCACTTGCAATCCATTAGCTAACACATCTTAAAACTGTCAAACATTAATGCATGTGAGATGTGCTTCCAAACATTACCTTTTCGATAACTTCAAACATTCACATCCAAAATAATTCAGCATGTCGAAATCTTGTTTTTCGTTTTTAAAAAAGAATTGCTTTAAATGTATTTTTATAGTTCAAAAAATATTGATAAGAACCTTGTTTGTCAAATAAACGCATTAAGAAATCATAAAAATTGCTGCGCAGCGGGCGAATTCAGATTTCCCGTGTCAAATGCTGGCTTCTGATTGGTTCATAGACGCGTTCTATTGTGCGTCTTATTTAACCAGTAAGCGCGTTCCATTGCGTCCCATCTTGCGTCTTTTATAATCTGTGGCCGCGAAGACACTGGTGAAAACTGCTTATAAATCAGTTTAACAATTACTATGAATGGGTTTCTGACCTTCAAAACTTTCGCTTAAAAGCGGTTTTGTTTTAAATCTGACTAGAATAAATGGTCAACAACAGAACAAAACTTTAAACTTACACGACTAACTGGTAGGACTAGAGTGTGCCCTTCGACTATCTGTTCCTTCCGATATCGATTGATCACAGCGTCCAAACATTCAAATGTTCTGCCGCCCATCAAGTATCGGACACCTTTCTTTTCTATTCGGAATCGCTGGATTTGATTATTTATGTGAAAAAATAGAGAATAATCACCAGGAGAATTATCACTGGGGCGAACTAAGAAACTACCAGGTCCAGCTAAAAAGTAAAATGAGAGAATTAAATTGAGAGCAACACTAGACAAAAACAAAAAATAAAACCCTCTGGCACTTAAAAGCCATGTTTCAAATAGAAAAAATGAATGAAATTTTGCATTCAACATACATGACTTGAAGTTTAGCCTCTTCATTCTTGTTTGTTGTGACTATGGTAAAATATGTTCTACCTTGTGATGTTTTAATTGTGACCTTTCTTATTTCGTGTGACCAGGAAGTAACTTTGACAGTAGATCACAATACACTGGGTCAAATTAAATGAGCGTTTTACATCTATGCGTTACTTACTACAACCTTCTAAAACAACATACCCTGTTCATCGTTTCTGTCACTGAAGAATTTATGATTAATACCAACAAAATGGTACTTTACTCAGCTTCACAGACATAAAATTTAAAAGAAATGATTGAATTTTCAATGTCTTCAAACTTACACTTAACAAGCATGTCAACAGCTTCACTTTTTGTTACATTTGGATGGAACCAGTTGAAAACAGTATTTGGATCAATGTTTTCATCCAGATCATCAACTAAATCACGAAAAATCAGTCCCTGCTCTCCTGTTCGATGAGCAGTCACCCACAGCCATCCATCGCCCATATCATTATGAACAAAAAATATGTCACCTTTCTGAAAACTGTTACCAAAGAAATTCATATATGATTGACTTGAAAAAATAAATAGATAAATCTTAAGGGGGGGGGGGGAACTTTGACCAGCCTCTTCAAATTGACCTATGTCAGCCTCTTCGTACCAACCTATTTCTTTGATATTATGCATGGACATTTTTGAAAATGAGCCTGTTCTCCGAGATGATAAAAACAACTTTTTGTTTACTAATCAGCTTTCCGATGTTATTGGATCATTAGAAAGATTTTAAAGGCATATGAGGCCGTATTTGTACCAGCAGAAGACACAACCATCCACCATTGATGTGGATGATGCAGGTTTTGATTATCGAACTTTAACACATTTTTATGCAAAGTTTCAGACTCCTTGCACATTTTTCAGTGAAATATGAATTAAAAATCAAAGGAAGTCAAATTACATGTAAAAATAGCGGCAAACAAATTAATAAGTATTGAATACTAGCTTTAATAATCTTTATTGATTTGGTGCAGGTCCTCCTTGACATCACTGCTGTGGAATAACCACTTTCTCAATATTAATTTCTTTATCAATAGAGGGCAGAGGATTTATTAAGTACATTACGGTTTCAAAAGACAGGTTTCATAATATGTATATCACTCTTTTCTTTAGAAGTTACAAAAGGTTTAATGTTTCACTTAAATTTATTAAAAGACTTAGAATTGACTTAGTTATGGTTCACTTTGATCGTTTCATCTCCATTACCCACCTCAGACACGGTTTCATGCATGAAAAAAAGTTCTCTTTAAAAACAGCAGATGTTGCTTTTTCTTAAATTTCCTGTAGCTCATTAACTATTGCTTCAAATTTAAATTTCTAGGAACAATTGTTTAAAAGAGAATTTATTCTATGATAAAACTCCGACCAAACGTTCTGTGTCTAAAGGATCAAAAGTGCGTTTTTCAAAACTTTAAAAGTGATTTTTTCAAAACTTAAAAACCCAACATCTGCTTTTGTTACGAATATGGCCTTGTAATACAATACCTGAGTTCATCTGTATCGGGCATTTTAGTGTAAGGTAAAATAGCAACAATCCGCTTCTTATCATTCACTGGTTCTGGTGGAGCAACAGGATGAATGAGACGTTCTCGTTTCAGTAAATCAGAGCAGGTAGTATAGTAACCAATCAGGTCCGACAGGGAATCAAACTGCCTTCCACCGATGTAAAAATCTCCACAAACAGCAGTGATTCTGTATTGAACCAAAACAGAGTTCACTCATTGGCCACTTAATTATTGATTAATATTGGTGAAAAGAGATAGCTTTCACGTGTGTGCTGAAATCTGAGTAGGTATGACACATTCTTTTGCACTTCATTAAGGTTGTATAAGATGCGTATACTGAAGGACAACAAGTGTGAAAGGAGTTAAACTGCGATATCAGCACGGAGTTCGGATCTAGTCTCATCAAAATTTTGAGCAGAATCCAAATCTTTGATGAGAGGCACAAAGTATCCGCTGATTTGAAAATTGCAAAAATGCATTGGTGCAAAAGGCCATATAAGTTCTTAGGAAACCGTAAATCTTGGTGTCTTCTATTGTCACCATTAAAGGGGACGTTACAAGTGTCATTTGTCATTCAAGGTAGAGACAGGCCTCTGGACAGGTTGGGTCAGCACCACTGCCATTTATAGATTTTAATATTAAATTCTCCCCTCCAATTAGTTGCTGGGGAATATAATCAATGAGTAATTATCTTGAATGAGCATGACAAATTTCTGAATGAATGTTAGCAGGAATCCTTTGTCCACAGAGACTTACTGTGCACACTGCACAGCTTTGGATAGCTAGGTAATGAACGCTTGCTTTGTACAATTTAAATGTCTATAGATTGCAATTAGATTTGATGGGACAATGGAAGTGAAGAGGGTATATTCCCCATTCCAAACTCAAAAACTTATTTTTATGGGGAAAAAAAGCACATGCAAAACATTGGATACCTACAATTAATTCGCATAGTCTAAGTACCTGAAATGATTGATCCCTGTCCGCCCGAGATATGATAATACATAAGATCCTGGCTTTCTATCACTTTCACGCATTAGGTAACTGCCCAATTTTGCAGCCAACCACAGTCTCTCTTCTGCAGAATACCTGTCCAAACGCCCATGATACCACCTGGAAGAAAAAATAATGTTCCATCAGTGTTGTGATTACCAAGACAAAAAATAAAGGAGAAATGGTGTTCTATCCATTTTTGAGTAGAATTGCAAGTAAGAAGGGAAGGAAGAGAAGGAGAGCGCTAACCAAACAGAATCTTAAATAATAGTCCGGACAGTGTATCGAAAGAAATATTCTTTGGAATTTCAGACTTTAAAATTTTATTTTTAAACCCAAAATTATTCTCCTGATTATTACAGAGAAAAAGAACGGTATAATTGACTCTTTATCATTATTAAGATGATGTGAAGTGCATGAATGAAAGTAGTTTTTTTCTGAAACTTGGCTCGTCATCATAAGCAGAATATAAAAAATTGGAGCTTCCAAAGGACAGGTGTAAAAGATGCTAAAATGCCTTCTTCACAAAGTAGCTTAATCCTTTTGTAACAACAGAAGAAAATAAATAAAAGATTAAGGAATTAAGCACTTCCAAGATGATCTTTATCTATACATGATTTCTCCCGATCAAAACAGCTACTGGATTGTGAAGTTCAGGCACATCTCCAGTTGATGCATGCAAATACCTATTCCTTGCTAGGTTCCACCATCAGCTTGGTGAACAAGTAGCTTGTTCAAAAATAAAGTAAAATAAGATATTGTGCAGACTTCAATTTTCTAAAGGCAAAATTCCTCGCAATTCCTTTCTCATGGAAAAATGCACAGATCTCAAATAAAAGATTGATAGAAATTATGGCTTCTTCAGATACAGCCTTTCGTCAAGCAAAAGAAATCAATTCAAGTGTATTCATTATCTGAAGGGGAAATTTGAGGAAAATAAAATAGAAAGTACTTAACAGGCAATAAAAGAGCTTACCTATTGCTATCAAGACTCTCAATCGAACTATAAATGTGCTCCAATGGATTGTCATTGCAATCGTCTTTCGGCACAGTCTCAGAACTTTCTATATCGAAGTCTAAATTAAAAATATAGCCCCTGAACATATTAATTCTTGAGAGAATTTATATATATTCATCCCTAACTAATTATTCCTATGGTTTCCTACTTTTAAAATCATCATAATTGTCATATTCTTTTAAAAAAAAGAGAAGAAAACAAATAGCGCAGTACAGTCAACTTCAGTTCATTTTAATCACCATTAAAAGTCAAACCTCAATAAAACCAGTTATGAGACCAAAAGTTATGAAAATCAACCTTGATTTTCTATTCTGAGAGAACCACATAAATTAATTTAGATAAGTGTAGATTGATAGATGTGTCAAAAATATAACTTGACCAGTCGACAAAAAACAACAAGCCTCTTATCGAAGTATTCGTAGATAAGTAAATCAATACTTTGTGATAGAAAAGTTAGCAATTTAATCAACTTAGGAAGGGCATAGAAGACACATCTGAAGAACAAATGGAGGCCAACTGACTCAGCTCGATCCTGGTCTAAAGCAATCACACATATCATTTTGATAAGAGCATCATCACATTATCATCTCATTGACAGTGTTGCCATTGATGAGGCAAAAACCTCACATCAAATACACCAATTTCAGATTTATTTAGTGGATACTTACAGTTGTGACCATTGACTTCTTTATAAAAAAAATATTCTTTAAACACAGCTCGAAGCTGCTTGCATTATTAAAAGTACCTGTATCTGGTATTATTGTGCTCTTATTCTTTTTTTACTCGAAGGATATTTATGAGAATCATTTTGTGTGCTTCCTCTCTCTAGTTTAAAATAAGGTGGGTGAAAAACCACCATTAAAGTCTTATTATAATAAATACATGATATGTAATTCTGAGGTTGAGGTTTCTGAATCAGGTTTTAAGATGTTTTTCTTGAGTATCCACACTAGGAAATAATGAAATATAGTACTTGCTCCGTTACGACAGCTTTTTTGGTTGTATGAATAGTTCTTTTCAAGGCCATAAAATAATGAAAATGGAAAAAAACATCTGAACAAAGGAAAAATTTAAGAATACTGAAATCGCTGATTTAGAATACCTATGTGTGCCGCAAAAATTGATGGTCAATCATCGAATAACAAGGTATTAATTTTCCTCTTATTGACGAATATTGCAACTTTTTGGACTCAAAAATAGCAATCCATTCATCGATTTTAGCTTTTATTTGTTTTTTTATGTTTTTTTTTTGTTTTGGTAGGTGATTGTGGAAGTCCTAATTGCAGAAAAGGCCAGTGACTGATGACATTTAGTCTTCATTATTTCTTCATCTTGATCTCAATGTTTTCAAAGAGAAAACTGTGCAAAAAATTTTAGCTTAGTTTTTTAAAAGTAGTTTTATAGAGGTGACCTCTAACAAAAAATCATTTTGGCAGAAAATCATTTGATGGAATAAGTATCATCTTCAGACTCATTATGAGAGAGATTTTTTTTGCACATACCTACCTCTAAAAGGCAAGCATTGTTTTTTCCCCCTTAGAATGAAGCTTCCTTATCGTCTTAAATGAGATGGATGTAATTTAAGCATAATTATCTCGAATTACTTTCCAAGAGTTGGAGCGATGCGGCTATGAGTAATTACGCTCTTTCATTTCATGTTCTTACATTTTGGGGCCTGACACATTGTTTCGAAGAGAAAAATTATTTTTGCTGGGTTCATTACTTTACCGGGTGTTTTTGACTTGTGTGTTCTACTTATACTTTTTAGTCTTCGGTCCTGATTTTTCTGTTACAACACGACTATGATCATTTTGGGCCTTTCCAGCCTCTCGACAAGTTCGCGTGTTCGCGATTGCTATATGTTTGACCTAAAGATGGACCGGAAAGGCTCGAAATGATCATAGTAGTGTTGTAACAGAAAAATCAGGACCGAAGACTAAAAAGTAAGTAAAACACACAAAGAGAATTATTTATTTATTTCACCTAAAAGAGGAATAATTAACTAAATTGTTAAAATAAATGACTCACATTACTTAAAATACTTTAAAATGCGAAACCTGTTAGACATCCCTAGTAATACACATTACCACGTGTGCTTTGTGAAAAAATTGAACATCAGAGCTCATTTTCTCGCTTTCATATTGGGGCCATGGACGTCTGTACAACTGCTGAACTTTAATTTTGATTTTTCAAAATCACAAAGATGTCACACTGCTCTTTCATTCAAAATATCCTTCATTTGACAACTCTTCTCAATTAAATTTTTGAAAGCTTGTGCGTTTGGGAGATGTATTTCCTACATTTTTAGTTGGTTGTTAGGATTTACTAAAAAATGGAGATAGGAGGCTCAGAAGAAATATGAAATGAAGTTGGTTACATTTAATTCAACATCCAAATTATAGATTGAGCTCAAACTAAACCAGGTATTTAATCTCTAGGTTGTCAAGAGTGTAGGAAAGGGGATCCCTGGGAGGTGCGGTTGCCATCTTTCGGAAAAAGTTGTAACTGTTCAATTTTATTGCACTCCTAAGAGATAGGTGATATAATACTCCACAAAAAATGGTCTGCGCACCATCCTGAGGCTTCTTAGCGGAACAGTTCATCCATACTCATGTTCAGATAAAGTGTTCATAGAATCGTACCTGTGTTATGTATGTTGATTGGTTGATGAGTATTTGAAACAGTGCAAATGTATTCTAACATGCAATATATCAGCGGTGAAACTAAAAGACCATGTATCTCGTTTGCAGTGTTTAATAATCTCTGTTCACATTTTATTTTTTTCAAGAGGAACAAATCAATATCATTCCTTGAAGTTTTCGGAGTTTTCTACGAACAGTGAAGAAAAATTGAGTGATTTCTCAAGAATTGCCATTCAGAAGTTTTCTGTTTAAAAATTGAGTATGAGAAGAAGTCTTAAACAACGCAAACCAAGATAGTTTGTTTGATAGTTTCACTGTCAATATAGACTTCATGAGGTTCAAATCTCAAAATATCACTGTTTGGGTCAGCTGATCGTTGGCTCAAAAGTGTCAGTTCTGTCTAGGCAAGAACCCATGCTAAAAGAAGACCAGGCTAGCATTTAAAATGTTCCTTACAGCTCAAAAATTCCAGTATGTTACCCTCTTGGGGACAAACTTAACTTTATCTGCAATTTGTCTCCTATTTGTTCGTATCCGGTATTCTTGACATTCACCCTTAGGAATACGCACGTCATGGAGATTCTAAGGCTTTGGTCGTCTGATAGCACCTAACCCAGCAGTTAATACCCTGAATTTTTTGTCGCTTAAGTGCATACTATGTCACTGATGGTTCTGATATTTAACCATGGCCCTCCTATCACGTCTGACAGCTCCAGTGCGGAGGTGCCTCAAGTTAACACTTGTTTCTCGGAGGGTAAGTCTCTTAAACTAGAATAAACTTTCTGTATCAATTTTCCTTTCCAATTGAGGGGGATAAATTAATCTATTTGAGTGCTGCAACATGAGTAAACATCTCTTTGCATCGCGTTTCTAAACGCAAAGAGCCGATAAGAGTGACACTTACTGAGATTCAGGGGGAGCTGCTAGAGTGTTTGCTCCGTCTGCTTCATCATTTTCATTCAAGAATGGGTCAAAATCTTCTCCAACCACACCATCATGTCCCTCCTCACTTCCAGTGCTGGGGGATCCATGTAATTTTTCCTTGTGGATCACTACACCAGTTCCACCTCTGATAAACTCTGCCATTGCTCAAACTACCATGAACGATAAAAACAGGTGATAAAAGAAAGCAGCGGCTTATCTTTCCATTGATCTGTAAGGCTACATTTTAGTTTATTGTTATTACTCCGAAATATTAAATAAAAAATGCCAGAAATACATGAAACAAAACAGGAGAAGGCGCAGAAAGAATGATGATGATGACAACGACAAACGACAACAACAGGATGATCAAGATAAAAATGATAAACCATTGAGGACCACACAGGAAAGGCTTACAGCAGAGATAGGGGTAGGATAGTGCACCGGAAGCCCCTGAAAGTGCTGCAATTTGCCTTACACAAAATTGGCGGGTCATTTGACTATCCTGAAATATTACGTACATACGTATGAGTAAGTGGGTATTTTCAGAAGAGTTTAATCGAAAGTCTGCTTCATTTGATGATGAGATGATACATGAAAAATTATTATAAAGCTTGATCCCTCTTCTTCTCCACAAAATTCACAAGATACCTACCTATTTTTTCTTCAGAGAAAAAATTTCAAGCTGCATTCTCTTTCTAGATTCTATTATGTTTCTCATTTTCTTGGGTGTTATAAATTCTTTAGATCACAGGAAATTCCATTTCCGAAACACTTTCTTTTCAGCTATTCACTTTCCAACATTAGAGTTATTAAAGCAATTTCAAATTACATCTCCAAAAGAGCATTATCATTACCTCTGGCTGGAAAAAATGGATTTTTTTAAAATCTCAGTGCTAAGCTCCTCTAAGAGGATGAAAAAAAAACAACTGAAGTCTAGTCCATTATTTTTTTTAAGTGAGTGAGATAACCAGATAAGAAATATAACTTGTTATCATAATTGAAAATCCATTTCTCATTCTTAATGTGAGATTGATAATGCTTCAAAACGCTTACTCCTTTTTTAATCTCATGCTCGTTTTTTAATCTGGCCGGGGACCTCCGCTTGGCCACAGCTCACTTGCTTTTCTGGTCTCCGTCTCTTGGCTTTGCCTCTGCTCCTCTCTCTCTCGATTTGGACTTTGGGTATTTTTTGGATTCTCTGGATTTTGGACTTAGAACGACGTTTGGGTGACCCGTCGAAAGACTGATTTTCTATTTGAATCTTCCATATTAGACCAACTTACTTTGAAATTTTTAATTTTTCTTTCAATTTTTCGGAGTTGAATTTGGATCCATTACATGGAAATTCTTAATTTCTGAATAAATTGTTGCATTCTATCTATCTTGTTATTTTTTTTTTTATTATTATTGGAAAAATAGAGGACTACATTGTATTAACTCTATTTCTTATGCTCTATATTGTATGCATGCGATTTGTTTGAATAAAAATTTGCAAATATACCAAGTCATAAACATTATGATTGTTTGATGACCTGTAAGATGAATCCCTCTTATTTTCTTTTGTAGAGGTAACTGAACCATATGGGCAAAATGAAGTCTCGTAGATTAGAAGTGCTTTAAAATCTGTTTAGAGGAGTCAGTTTGATATGTACTAGATTGGTGAGAAATTCAGCTCATGACTCTCAACAAGGGGTTCACGCTAACTTTCACTCTACGCAAACAATTTATTCTTGTGTACCATTTTTTATAATAGCGCAGGATATACTGTGCTAACCCACACTTGAAATTCCTAAAAACGACAGTGAGGGGAGAATTAAAGTAAAAAATTGACTCTTGGAATATAGACCACAAAGAAATATCACCCAAACTATGGCAAAAGTCGAGGAGACAACGCTTTCCTTCAAACTGAATTCACAAACAACACTGTGATAAGATTTATACTTTTATTCACAAATCTTCACAATTCTTTAACAAAAATTCAAAAAATAAATTAGTATCTACATGTGACTGAATAAAATCAAAACACAACACTGTACATTTCCACCATTAAAAAAAGTTATAACATAAAATATACCTTTCAAGGTGGAGAAAAAAATCATTTTTTGATTACAAAAAGGGAGGCAGAAAAAATTCTCTGCAGGTGTCATCTAGCTATGCAGAGTTTGCTCTGTTGCTTGGTGGGGATCTTTAATAATAAAAGGCCTAAAGCTACTCGTTTCATTCAAATTTACAATTCAATAATCAGGGGAACATTTTTCTGGACCAGATTAGATCATTTATACAGTTAGAAAAATGACCAAATCAAAACATGAAAACAGTCAATTGAATATAAAAATCTTTCTTTCGTATGACGTGAGCAAGATATTTAGATTAGAGGCTGGTTTTTTTTGTGCTGGGGTGACCCACCCAAGGGTACCCCTACCTAGGGAATGGACGTAACAGGCGTGCGTCAGAGCGGTGGGAAAGAACACCTCTCATTCCAGGTGGAGGGAACGGTCTTTGTTCCCACAATGATCTCCCTCCTCTGAAAGGTGGCCTTAGGTGCGGTTCATGTCCTCGAAATGCGTGTGGCAACGGTGGCTGTCCTGATGGTCCTCCTCCTTCTTGTCTTGGCATTAAATGATGCCAACCTAATCCAGACAACATAGATGTAAGAATAAAAATAAAAGGCACAAATGTGATCGATGAAAAAATTCTTGCAATTGAATTTGATTCACTTTTTTTTTGAAATGAAATAAGGCTACTACTAGTGCTAGAGGGGCAGAGAAAATTTTCTCTCCTAACTCACAAGGACCCTCGAAATTATTTTTAAAATTTTTTCTTGTGTTCAAAACGTTTTGTGGAGAAGAAAAATCCAAATGCTGGCTGAAAATTGACCTATTTTGTAGTGCGGTTTTGCAAAACAGAAGAAGTAGGAGCTGACATAAAATTAATCGATTTTGCAGCTTGCAAGAACTTTGCAAAAAGATGAGCAATGCTCAAAAACTTTAAAATGATAACCTTGTATTACTTTAAAGGAACAAATTGCCAGGATTCTGTAAAAGGAACTCGGCTATGCTTGCAGTGTTGCACAAAAATCGATTTTCAACTTCAATTATGCAGAATATTTGCAATTTATGCTCTAATACACAGCAGCTGTTTCATTTTTGACACCCATCTTTGGGGCCTTCCTAATTTTGGGCACAACTAGCCGGTTATGTGATGGAGGATTTTTCGCATCCCTTGTCTCACTCAGGACTACCGTTTTAAACATTTTAGGAATTTTAAGACTGAACCTAACTGTTCCAAAATGCTGCCATTGGACGAATGAAAAAAAGCTAACATGATCTAATTTCATAATATGAAAGAGAAATTTAATTACAGAAAAACAAAAGGAAAAGAAAAGAGCGAAAGGAGATTTTATGCATGGTGCAGTAAAGAGCATCCTTTAATCACTATTGATGAATAACTGAATAATTTTTAAGATTATATATTTGACAAGGATGAATATTATTACTATAATATTTCTAAAGAAGTTCTTACACTATATGAAAGAGAAATTGAATTTGAGTTGAGCTCAAATTTAGTGGCTTTTTTTGTTTTAAAAAAAGGTCGTAACTTTATATTATTGTTATATTATAGGGCAACCCCTAGAGAGGGTATTTTAATATAGTATAAGCACTGTCCTCCCTCCCCACAATAGGAGGACAGTGATTATACAGTAAATATATATAAAAATGTATAGAAATAATTTATATAATTATTAGAGTGAGTGGTTATAATTAGAGATGCGATTTACCTGGTCTTGGTCGAAAAGAAAGAGCTCCAAAAAACCTAGCACCTCTGTCCAATCCGAACGCTCTGGCTCGTCCTCGCACTCGAAGATCCTGAAGAAGAGAGATAAAGAAAAACATTAAGTGATGCAAAAGAATACGTGTTAAAAATAAAATTTGTTGCCAAGCTGAGGTTTGATAATTCAAAGGGGAAAATAGTTTTCAGTATATGTCAAATATTGAGGATTTTCGAAATATTGCTCTGCGCCATGTTACAATCAGTTGACTTCTGTTCATTTTCAGAGGTTTTGAGAGAGCAATTGTGATCTTCTCCAGAAGTTCTTGATTATGAGAATAGATAAATCTAAGTTTTAAGAATACTTGTTGAGAAGCTGAAGAATTTAACAAACTTGGATTATGAAACGCCACTATCAAGATAGGATCCTGGCAAGGATTAAAAGTCTGCGCACAATCTCACCAACTGCTTTGACATTATTGATAAATAATTTGCTACTTTAAGGCAGTGCGAAAAGAATTTTTCTCAGAATTTAGGTTTCGTGCTTGGAGGCTGAATAATTGATTTAAAAGATGCTGTTGAACGGAGTAAAGGATCTTAAGTCTCCAACTAGTCCTGATAGCTCAATGTATCTCACACCAAGTGTTAAGAAGCTGGTAATGAAATTTGGTTCTTCAAATCTAAAAATGAAAAAAGTTTTCCAAAATTTCAATTTTTCTTTTTGATTCAATGGGGAAAATCAATAAAAAAATGTGATGTAGCTGAATGAGTAAACAAGTATTTCCACGGAGTCTTTGCAGCTCAATGCATCTCACTGAGTGTGTTAAACAGGCGAATTTCAATATTTTGAGACTGAAAAAGAAGATTTCCTCAAAACTAGCATTTACACTTGGTGGCGAAAAAGTCATTCTAAAACTGCTTTCCACCTGAGTGGAAAAAACCAAGATTTCCATTAACCCATTGACTTAAACCGACGGCTCCCAGCCATTCGCGCTGCGCTGGGCCAGATCTGAAGAGACGGCTCAGAGACGTCGATTCGATTTTGGCGTTTCGTCGATTATTTCGGCGATTCTCCGGTAGATTGCGTTCTCATCAATGTTTATATGAGTAGTGTGGCCACCCTATGATTTATTGTAAACGGTAATTTCTTGTTTTGTTACGGTATTTTCATATTACTGTGCGTTTGCACAAGAAATAACCTCAAAATTTTCTGATTTTCGCTGATTTTGCGATTTTTGCGACTTTGACAGCTATAAACCACAATAAAAAAATCATTGCGTTCAAAGTTTTCACCATTTTTCTCAAACGCTGTATTGTGAATGCTGATTGTGTCAATTTTCACCCTTAGAGAAAGAATTTCTGGATTATTTTGAAGTGTTCAAAGTTACTGATTTTCGCCAAATTAAATCGTAATTCATGGCCCGGCAGGGTCAAATTACTTCATAAGTCAATGGGCCAAGTTCCCATAATTTACCTGAGCAGCTCGCATTGACATTTTATTGTAGCCAGTTGGTCCGGTAGGCTGCTGACCACAAGTTTCCAGAGCAACAAAGTCATCGACGTGAAGTGATGGAGGTCGTGATGTGTTTGGGAGTCTCGTTCTAAATAAATCCCCTCTCTGCTGCTGCGAAGAGGAGCGAGATGTCGAAGCACCCCTCCCACGCATTGGTGTAACTACAATGTGTGAATAAATGAAAAAAATTAGGATTGAAGTGGAAAGAAAAATTACCAGGGGTGATAAAACAAACAAATCGTTAAATTAATCTTAATTGAGGACCTTGCTGGATGAGAGGGGATTATGCAAATACCTTTGTTGCCAGATATTAGCGCTTAATATTATGGTTCATTCATACGATCTCCAATTGTTTTCAACTGGGCCAAGGTTAAGTTTCCTTTCGGGCATATATTTGAGCTTGAAAAAGCATGAAAACATCAACCATGAACTGTCGGTGCATCTCATAACACCACACGCAATATACTCCTCTTCCAGTAAGGTATTTTATTGTCATTACGTTATTGCAGTAGCTGGTGCACAAAAAATTGCAATGACTGACATGACAAGTGAGTTTCAGGAGCCCTATTATAGTGGAAAAATGGTTACAGCAAACTCACTTATTTTCCATAACTAAATGCGTTTTTCAGTCCACCTTGACTTCTTTAGCAATGGATTCCAATGTCATTAGGAGTACACAGTCAAAATCCATTGATAAAGGAGTCAAAGTGAAATCAGGGGGGCATCAGGTTAGAAAAACTTAAGTGCTACGAGTTTATTAATTTTCTGAACTCCGAGTAACAAATAGATTTTGATAAAATTCAGACATGAGAGTGGAAAAATGGCTTACCAAAGGGTTTCTTTGCTTTTGTCTCCGCAGGTGAACTTGAAGATGCAGATGTTGAGGTGGGTGTTGAGCCAACACTTGAGCTTTGAAGTTTTTCTTTCGCCCGTTTCTTAAGTGTTGGTGACTGGTCAACATCAGTAGAGCTGATTTTCGACTTGCAAAGATTTTCTAACTCTTCTAGGAAATTCATTTTCGGAAAACAATTTTTTGCTAGTTCCAAAATATCACAAGGGATCTGGGGAAGAAGCAGAGGAGATATAATCAAATCCTTTATAACTATACAAATAATAAGCAAATAAGGTGACAAAAGAAAAAGTCAACATGGTATATTTGACACTGAGGTCAATTAATCTACAAAAGTCATGAAGAATCTAGGTTAAAACTTCAAAGACATTATATTTTTTACATTAATATGGATGACAGAGGAAATCGGTGACATGTATTTTGTAGCTCCTACTTTTTGCTTTCTAGCGAGCTATTGAAAATTAAATTTGATTTGCTGGAACTGAAGAAAAAATAATTTTTCTGAACTCATCTCTCTCCGAGACAACACGGAAATTCCATGCGGCGCCTCAGCATGTGGCTATTACACCTATCATTCATTGTAACCACACGACTTAATAATAGTTGAACTTCAGCCGTAAAATATCGGACGACATGCTGTTGCTCAAATACTGACACAACTGATACAAAAGATAAACCTTGACGCCTTGAACTACTAGAATGAATCTGAAGTCAAACAAGACCTTACCTGCTCCATTTCTTGGTCAGCCTCTTCCGACACAGGTGGCGCAGAGAGCCAATAGGCAGGAGTTAATCGGTCGTCATCAACACTACCGAGCATCACAGATACAGGACGAGACATAAACTGAACCAAAATTGGATCGCAATGAGGTAGAATTGGTTCTACGATAGGTTCTGTAAGAGTGCAAAACATTGATTGGATCAATTTTTCTAACTTTAAAATGAACTATTGATAGTATAAAAATGGATTTGGAATTTAAAGTTTTTAAAAAACTTTAAATATACAACTTCGATTTCTCAATATGCACAATGATCAGAACTTTCATGCTAGTCTTTTGGCAAATCTTAATAATGAATGACACAAACTCTGAGACTAATTTCATGGATTTGAAACGGCTCTGATCACCTTGCGAACGGAGTCTGGAGTCTGGGGTCAAGATTGAAATGATCAAATATTTCCATCATGCATCAAAAGTTATAGAAAAAAATTACTTGAATCAATAGAAACTATCAAAAGAACCTGTCTATTCCCATTCAAAATATAGTTGCTGAATTATTGATAAATAGTCCCCAGAGAACAGAATCCTTTCAATACTTATTTCATACTCTTGATAGGGAGTAAAATGGCAAGATAAAAAATACCTTTCTTTTCGGGTGGTTTTATTTCACTATCATCTAGAAGTTTCATGAACTCTGAAAAACTGGGCTCTACACCAGGAAAGTTTTCCAGATCCGCATTATTTGCCTAAAAAAAGATAATTCAAAATCACATTTAGCAAAGTCAGCCAAATAGCAGTTGCACAAAAAACTCAATTTTTTTTTTAAAAAAAAAAAAAAAAAATCTTGCAATAATCCTAGATACATGAAAAAAAAATTGAATTCATGTCTACCACATGACTTGGGCCAGGAGTGACTTTCACTGCACAGGTAAGCTATAACTCCAAAGATATTTCTCAGCAAAAAATGGACCGAGTTTAACAGAAAGGAACCAAGCCACATCAGCAATTGCCAAATTTGACCGGGCAATTAATTTTTTTACAAGAGAACGTTTGTGCGGATTCCTTTGAAATTTTTAAGAAATTATCTTCAAACTATGGAGATTTTTCATTGAAATTTGCATGGAAATCCGCGCAATCGTTTTCATGTTAAAAATTAAATTGCCCAATTAAATTTGGCAATAGCTGATGTGGCTTGGTTCCTTTCTGTTTACCGCAGTCCAAATGTTCTTTCCACTAATTTTTCAACATAAGATATTCTTTCATTCTAAAGCAGCAGCGATACAAACTAAACATAGTTATAATTAATTAATACACCTGGAATATCCTGAAAAAACATCTCTTGGCTTTGGAAAGGCCGATTTGAGTAGTTGCTATAAATAGGCACTGAAAAGAATTTTTTTTGTATTGTTTTGTTCACCATCAAGTATATCCAAAAATTGAAAATTCTTGCACAAGAGCACTTCCCAGTTTGGAATCTTAAGGATATCATTAAAATAAAACAGTGCTGGCTGTTAAATAAAGACTATATGGATGGCCATGGTACGAAACGACGTATCTCCATTGGGGGTATTTCAAAATTCCCATTCTTATTTTTGTTTTTTTTTCATAGAGAAACAGGTCAGCTATATGGTTTAAAATTGATACAGAATATTCTGTTAGCAGTGAGGAAACGTAGAGGAAGTTTTCAAGATTACGTTGACCAGTTTTCCAAAAAAAAAAAATTAAGCATGACAGGGAGTCTGCAACGTTGCAAACAAAGATACGAAGTTTTTGCGTTTCGGCCATTGATGTAATACCATTATATGGCAGTGGCAGAAAAATGTGTGTGATTAAGCTTAATTCGCCGCTAATTATAAAGTGAGAGAATGACTTCATGTTTTTATTTTCTGTGCAGAGGGCAATTTTCCATGTTGAACGTTTTAGTGTAGTCCTGACTAAACAAGTTTCAAAAGTTTATAAAAGAAATCATACTATGAATTTTATCTGTTTAGACTGAAAGGTACATACTTACTTTATCTGTGATATACAGAATAATTGACAGTAAAAAGACTTGGGCAAGTATACAAATATTAGAGTTTAGGATATTGAGATTAAAGACAGCATGTTTCAAGACTGAGAAAATTAGTGAGCAAAAATGACACAATTGCCGAAAAAGATCTATTTTGTAGATGTAATAATTTGGCTGGCGTACCTTTATAATACTGCTTAACTGATGAAAAGGATGAATATCATTAGTTTCTGTGACTTCTGAATCTCCATTAACTTCCATTTTGATGACTTCAGATGGTCTTTTGTAGAGGCAAAGTTCTGCAATCTCCTTTGGAGACAAAGTTATCGAATGACCTAAACTGAGCAAACCACAGCCTTCATCATTCTCACTCTTGACCTCTACGACAGGGGTTGAAAGTTCTTTGAAAAGTTCAATTAGCACCATCAGAATCGGAACACACTCCAGAATATTTTTACTCCAACACTCAGCAAGTTTCGTGAGGACACAAAACACAGCTTTGTTCTTACTCTCAAAACAACTGAAACAAAAAAAAAGACAAACAAAGTTAGATGTAATTGAAAGATGCTACAGTTTTTGTCTGAGGAAAAATAATTCGATCAGTTGGAAAGAAAAAGAGAATTTTAAAAATTCTGATTCTGATCAAATAACTGAGCACTACCAACCTTAAACTTGGATTTCTACCCTGGAAAAATTATATTTTTGGCAGGAGGGTTGAATGTAGTCACGAGTTTTCATTAATTTCCGTCAACATTTTTTTAAAAGGAGATATGCTTTGCAGAAAAAAACTGAAACCTGTTGGTAGCAATTAAGCTGCAGGAAGGAAGCTTAGAAAGTCAAAGCGTGATGTGCATTTTAAAAATTAACATACTTAAATCCACCCTTTTAAGTGAATAAATTCAAACAATAATAATTTGACTCGGAGGGAATATCATCAAGATAAATAACGAGATGAGTCTAATCAATAGGATCCCATGATCAAGTGGGGGGCTTTTAATGGGGAATTGCACATCATAAAAAACATAAAGTTAATGAACTCCATTAAGAGTTGAATAAAAAGTTATGTTGTACTTACTTTTTCAGATGATAAATACCGAAGTCATGCTCACTTAATGTCAAGAGTATTCTCAATATTTGAAGAGTAGTAGTGAGACTATTCTCTTTAAGAGACAGATGATCCAGTAAAGCAAGGCACATTGGTACTAGAGTTTGTTTTGGAGGTAACGAGTTACTTAAATATGTTTCGATGCTTAGCGTTAGCGATGGATCGTTCAACCGTGGTAATAGCGTTATATCTGCACAACACAAAGCTTGAAACATAGATAAGACACATTCTTGAGCTTGTAGATGATTCACATCATCTGAAGGCGTTGAAATGATCTGGCAAAGAGTATCCATCAAAGTCAGGAATTTCTCTTCTGATTTTGGGACAGAGGCGTTGTTTACTGTCAGATGGAGGAACGCCACTTTGACGCATGGGTATGTTAACAGACAAGCTAAAAAGTTCAATAAGCGCACTGTGCGGGGTGTAACAGGTGCAACATTCTGGTTTAATGAAAGACTAGAAAAGAGAGCATCTAATATGCTCCGAACAACAATCAACGCAGTTGGCGCTGCTAGGTCCGAGAGCTGAACACAGATTTTTCGCAGGATATGCAACAGAGGTTGATAACTTGATTCACATAGAGTGACAATGAGGTCTTGTAATAACTGACTTAGAGAGTGCAGGTGAGCTGACCATAGTTTTCGATAGTTGACAATTCGGCTGATTTCACTTTCTGACAAAGATTCTTTGGTTTGTATCGGAAGCGGTAGAGGTAGTAGTTCTGAAAGGATAAGTAGTCCATTTTGGAATGTGTATGGGCTGGCAGTGATAAATTTTATCACTTCCTTTATCATCGATGTCCAAAGACTTTTATTCAAAGCTTCCGACTCAGACGATGTCTCGTTTGAGATAGGCAACGTATAAGCTAGCAATGTATCAACTATGTCTTTACGCACTTTTTGAGCTTCAAAATATGCATGAGATGATGCGGGGACAAAGCACATTAGATTGTAAATAGATAGGAGAATTGGGATGGCTGTAAGATCTTTGAAGTCTGTGTTTTGGCACTGAATGACATATATTAACATTCGGCGTAGTAATTGAACACACGGCATGATAATCGATAGAACTAACACGCTATTTCCTTGAAGAAATTTGTGAGAGTTTAGGTAAGGCTCATCATAGTGCTCAATGAATTTTTGGAGTATTGATGTTAAAAAAGACATGCCGTCATACGAGTAAAGTTGCAATATGACATATTTGTACTTAGACTCAACATACTCCTCTTTTAAAGGATCACTGACCTCATGGAGATCTTTGTCGTTAGTTTGCACGCCAAGTTGGCGCAGAATTCGCAGCCCTGTGATCAACTCTCCTGGTTGAGATGTACAACTGTCTAAATTCTTTTTCACTAATTCACAAAGGTCGGAGATGTCTTCGTAGTGAAACAATGAATAGTTCTGAGATGGTTTCAGCCATGGAACGAGTGCTTGAAGTTCTGGCAATTGAGGTTCTTTTGCTATCATATCACATAATTCGGGGCCATATTTTCGCAAAAACGGCACATAGTCTGAAAATTTGACGACTGTTGAGATCAAATCGCTTGCATAGAGAATAGACGGAGATTTCTTCTTTGAGTTAGTTGTGTCCTCTGGCTTCGTGTGAAATTTCAGAAAATTCAAAACTGGCTGTATGTAATCGCAACGAGACAGGATGAAAACGACTGCACTTTTACCAATAGGATGCATCGTTAGGCAATGTAAGTTGTGAAGAATATCAAGGATTTCTGAGCTATCAGGATCCAGTTTCATAACGCTTTGGTACTCCCAAAAATTAAAGAGGATATCGGTGTAATTTAGAGCTTGAAGCCGATAGACCAAAGTCAGTCCCAAAGGGATATTGATGCCCAGTGAGACAACCTCATTTTCATCTACCGTTGGTGGAGTTGTGGTGCCGATCAAAATTTTAATTATTGGATTGATGGTATCAATAGATGAACACAAAAAGCGCATCCCTTCTGGTGTTTCAATTAAACTGCTAATAAACTCTTGAATGAGTAACAACAGTGACCAATCACTTGCCATTTCTGGAGAATTCAAAATCAATACTATTGTTTCAATTAATAGATGGCTTTTGAAAAAAGTAAATAAAGTTTCATAAGGTTCTGGGCAGGAAAATGTGGCACCAAAATCAAACTGAGAGTGCACAGGTAGGAACCTTTTAGGATGTGAAATCATAGTTTGAGCGTTCTTATAATACTTGATGATCTCTTCTAAACAAATAGAAATTAAATTCATATCAAACTCTTCGGGTGTATCACCATCCTTGGACTTTAGTTTTTTATCATAATTATAAATGAGTTGATTGAATTCAGATAAGATTTCGTAAATGTGAAATTTTCGAAGAAGACTTGCAAGAGCAAATTTAACACGGGCCAGTTGATCTCTTTGCATCATGTCAACAATTTTTACGTATCCGTTTACATTCTCATTCATATTTTCATCATTGACAGAAAATATTTCTGAGTTCAGAAATAGCTCAACGCAACTTTTATAGCGGAGACTTGAATCTAGAGTTCGAAGGATCATTAACTTAATAGAGAGGGCCATATATTCTATGTGATACAAGTCTATTAATTTTCGATGCAGGCTAATTCTTTCAATCAAGTCTAGTGTTATTTGTTCACTACATTTGCATAAAACTTCAGCTAGTCTCAGTCCTGCCTTTATGTGCCTAATCTTAAAGGCAGGTTGAGGTTGCGTTAAAGCATCTTCAAAATTTAATCCTGTGTCTACCCATGAAATCAGAGTCTCAATGATACCTGAAAAATAAAGCAAAAATTCATTGATATTCAGACTTATTTATTTTGATATTCAATGGATGCAATTGATTATTTCTCAAAATTTTGTGACGGTCCCTGCATCCAACTCGTTTTGACAGACCTAGTTACCTACCACAGGAAGGAAGCATGTTCTCTGAGGAGTAATAATTTTCCAGTATACTAGGGAAAATTTTTTGAACAATGTATGGTTATTCCCGTCAAATAATTAAAGTCCAAATTGTTTCATCCATGTCCCATTAGAGTGCAGCTCATTCCTTTCAATTTAAATTAAACATTAAGAATTTCATAATCAAGAGGGGACCCTTCTGGAATTTTCCAAGTTTTGCACATAAAAACAATCACAACTGAACAATTAAATTTCCCACGTGATTGAAATTGGAAGGTCTTGACAAACCTTCAAACCTAAATGAAGTTTTTCTAGGAAAGAATAAAATGTTGTGAAAAATTCGAATTTCCAAAAATCTGGTGAGCAATGAAAAAGTTTCCGGTTAATAAAATATACTTACTTTCTCTACTTTCCGAGTGCGGTAGTCCTTTGGGAATTAATGGTACTAATTTTTCAATACCGATAACCCAAGATTCTTTTTTACAATCACTAAAATCATCACAGTTATTGAAAACTTCCTCTAATTGTGTTGCTTCAGGCACTTTTTTGAATTTTAAATATTCTTCAGAGCAATGAGAGACCTTCCATTCATATTCTGACATTGATGGGTCAGAGAGATACTGAAAAATTAAAAAAAAAAATTCTGTGACAGAAACACTAAGCCAGGAAACAAAGGAAAATCTGTGATCTGCGAGATTATTGATTAAAAGCCCAAGACAGTACCATAAGATTTAACACCCGGCTAAATTTCAATGTTATGTATTTCATATGATGTACCTTACAGCCTCTTGAGCACAATGAGCTCTTAAAGTGGAGCTAAATATGCGCCATTTTCTTGAGTTAAATGGGGCTGAGAAGTGAATTATGCAGTAATTTCCTTATTCAATGATGAATAATTTTCAAATTTGAGTCTTCCTATCCCCTTTAGATTTCACTTTGTCTGGCAGGAACTTCGATGTCATCTAAATTTGTATTAGAGGACAAGAAAAGGTAAAATTTTTGGAAAGGTTTAAGAAGTACTATTATAAAAACTTTGATATGAATAAATAATACGCGGTATACAAAGTAGTAGCAATCTGACTGGCAAATTTTGGTATATTGGATTTTGATTTGAAACTTACTGAGAGTGGCTGAACAATAAAGGCATAAGGATTGAAAACTTTTAGTGGGTTGTCAGCGAAATCAGCAAATTCAAAATCAATGTCCTGTGAAAGAAAAAGAGTGAAAGATGCAATTAGGAAATTGAGTCAATACAGGTCAAGTGTGAACATATTGATGATGAATCGAGAAAGATACAAATCTTGATTGCAGCGTTTTAAAGTTTCTATTTTCATTTCCTTTTTCTGAAAGAAACCACGTGATAGTGTTTCATAAATATTTCCAAAACTAAAAAAATACTCTTTAAAACTTAGCTAAAGATAAATTATGGTGAATTTCAAAAGTTAAGGATTATTTTTCCAGCACTAAGATGTAAGAAGTTTGCGACATTACAAATTAAGATACAATTGATTTAGTTTCACTTTTGATACATGAAAGGTGATTATCAGCTACTATATGATGGTCAAAGGGGAGGATAAAGGAACATAAATAAGTATAAAAATCACTTGTAATTCTCAAAAGTTGGTGGAAATTTCATTTTTTACAAGTCATGGTGGCACAGCAAAAAATTGATGCATCTATGGCGGAATAAATTGAATTGCATTTGCTTCTTTGCTGCCAAGTTTTCGGGTAGGGTTCATTAAATTTTAAAATCAAGTCTGATTGAAACTTTGAAAATAAATCTCTTTGAGAAAGAAAAATTCAAATTTACCTGAACGTCAATTTCGTCCGGAATATCCTCATCACTGAGAATTGGCTCGAACTGTTCTGTGTTAGTGGTGCTTTGCTCAAGATCAATTTCAGGAGGTTGTGGAGAAGCTTTTGGAGTGATGGTTTCTACAGGAGGCGGTGGAGTTTTTTCTTCTTTCAAAGCATCATTTTCTCCAGGCTCAGAGATTTCTCCGTCTGATATACTTTCAACGTCTCCAGGAGAAAACGTTTCAAAGGCAGGAGAGTTACATTCTATGGGCACAGCAGATAAACACAACTGATGAAGAACAAGTTTTTCTACCTTATAACCATGGGTTTACTCAGGAACTTCATCTTCATATTCACTTTCCATGTGAAGTGTTTGACTTCTGCAACTATAGAGTTGCTGTCTTTATATTCAGTTTCCCATGACACATGGGTTGCAGACCTGAACAGTTTAGAACCTGCAGCCTTCAAGCTCTGGCACAGGGAAATAAGCACTTTCTGATCAAATTTTTCACTTTTATTCTATCAAGAGCGGCTGCACATCAGTTTATCACTTTAACTTGGTTTTGCATGGTTCTAGAACAATGAGCCACTTTCAAAAACATAAAAAACTACATCCAAGTAGGGAATATTAAAGAGATAGAATAGCTCTCCTATGGATTAGACAGATATCTCACTAAGTAGTGAAGCTACCTGCCACATTTGATCGTATTCTCAACATCATTCTGTAGACATGACAGGGTGTCTAACAGTCATAAAAAAACAAAATTGGGGATTTTCAGGGACTTTCAGGGGTATTTTTTCAAAAAAATCCGGGACTTTTCCCCCCGAAATAGTAAGAGAAAGGGAGCTACTTGGAGCATTAAAAAGCATATTTTATACGACTAATTTTACAAGTTATGTTGAACCGATGAAAACGTATAAAAAACCAAGTGACACTTTTTTTATTCCTGGTTATACCGCGCTGCAAAAATTTTTCCTAGCGGGAAAATTTGAAAATGCCAGTGTTTAGGACGATTTTTGTCATTTTTTGGGGACCTGAACAAGAAAATTGGGGACTTTCAGGAGCATCGGGGACACCCTTCCAGAATCGGAGATAATCAGGGACATTGGGGACTTTTGGGGACCGGTAGACACCCTGCATGAAAGGAAAGGGGTTAAAATATAAAATAAGCCAAAACACATTTTGTAACCAGCATTCATATTCAATGATGTAAAATAGTAAGTATTACCTTTCTTGACGGAGCCTGAGTTACTATCTTCAGGAGGCGGAGTGCGAGGTTGCACTGGTGGAGATCTTGGCCGTTTCCTACTACTCAAACCCTCCCATTCCATCCACGAACTGTGAACTTGTGCGAACTGTGATGAACTTGACTTACTTGAATAGTATTCCCTATCTGGAACGATAAATATTTTGTCAATAATGATCTAATTCAGGAAATAGTAACAGATTTTGAAGAAGCCGGCACACAGCTTCAAGTTCATTTCGGCAACCATCTTCAAAACTCACTTCAATTTCAGAGAGATACACAAGTTTTATCAGATTTTTTTTTTTTTTGCTTCATTTCACACTACTTTTCAATGTTGACGCAACAGACTAATGACCATTGATTTATGAGCTGTGTAGCAGGAAGCCAGGATGCTAAGCAGAAAAAACCCTGCTCAAGGAGCATGAATACTCTTACTAATAACTAGGCACCAAGTGGAATGACTGCTTTATATACAACAAAGATGGTTTAATCATTGTGATTCTGGAATGTAGCCAAAAGAACACTGAGTAGAAATATTGAAAAATAATGACTACAGATAACAACGCATGAGATTTAAAGGTATTTTTACCTGGAGAAATCACTTGAAATAATCACTCATGCCATATTAGACAGTTTAAAAAACATGGTAAATATATAACCCGTACCCTTATTTCTTGAGACAGGAAACTGTAAAAAAAAATGTCCTGACTTACCTCGAAGCCTTCCATCGTCAGACCCTCTTTCTCGGAAGTCTGTAGTTAGGTCACGACTAATTTCCATTGGAGGGGATATCCTGTCACGATGACGTGCTTCTTTGTCTTTATCCTCATCCCAAAATCCTTTATCCTCACTCCACTCTGCTTGTGAGTTTTCATATGGTGGCTCATTTTTTACGTGATTATATCCGTCACTCAGGTTGACAACCTTAAAAAGAGAATTAATGTTGTGGCCGTGAAGTTTATTTTAACCTGTCACATTCTTAACCATTATTGAGAACAGAAATTCTTCCTTCTGCCTTTTGAATTCCATGGAGAAAATGTTTGATTTAGCACAATCCTCTGCAGTTTGGATGAAAAAAAAGCCTTGAGGCCATGCAAAGGGGGCATGCGGATAAGGTAGAACAGTCCATGTGATTGCAAAATTTTTCCATTGTCCGCAAAATCGCAGGTTAGGAGAGGAAGAAAAAAATGAGAAGTTTACAAAATGAGAAGGCTAAAAANGGGACCAATTTTCTCGGAAATTTGGCAACATAGGAAAAAATTTTACTGAACATTTTTTATTCATTTTTTTACGTACTTTTCAAAAATGTACACAGTTTTTGGATTAAGTTGAGTTTTGAATGTGTTAAATGGAAAAAACCCCTAAAATTGGGCCAAAAATGGCAACAATGGGCCATAAGGCCCCTTAAAATTTATCGGAGGCCTTTAAAACGGCCAGAAACGAAAAGTACGCAAAAAAATACATAAGAATCATATGCTGGAAGAGTGATAACAGTCGAAAAAGTGGACGAAAATAATTGTTTTTCGATTCTAGGATTTTGGGTTTGAGGCGCTGCTGCGCCCTTGCATGGGCTCCGTTTGGTCTAATATTTGGCACAGAGTCTACCTAAAACTAGTACTTTGAAAATATGAAACATTTAGCAAAATCCAGGTGCGGCCGGAAAAGGCCCAAAACGTAACTCCTCCTTTTTAGAACACACAGTTAATCTAAAATTTTAAGATCAGAAAATACTTTCAAAATTGAGCTTCTGTAGATGTCTGATTGTTGATCGGTTATTAATCAAAAAGAATAAACTATGAAAAGACATTTGAGGACAAGGATAACCAACTCATTTCAAGAGCAGATGACGATTTGTTACTCTTGTTGTGAAAGAGGACACAAAAATCTCAATTATTAAATTTTAGAATTCGGACCGTCAACATAAAATTCATTATATATGTTGCAGCAAAACAAGGGACTTTGGAACTTACAGATGCAGGAGCAGATGATGGCCAATCTTCTTGATACGGGTAATGCGTGGTTGGTGGATTTGGGTACTTTCCTTCAAATTCTTCATTTTCAGTGGATACATTGTGATCAGCTGGTGTTGTCCCCACCTGGAAAAAGAATGAAACGTTTCCTTCTTTAACGCGATCTTTCATATTCAAAATACAATAACAAATTTGCAGAATAATAAAAATAATGTCCAGTTTGGATGAATTGTGTAATCACAGCAATTCAGGAATACGGTAAGCCATCAAAAGAAAACCTTTGCAGCTAATTAGTAGTGAGTGACTTTACAGGGAAACTCACCATTCTCCTATTCTTAGATAAATTTTAAGAATAAAAATTGGGAAAAATAGACACATCTAAAATTATTAAATTAACTGATTTTGCACTCCCTCCCCCCCCCCAAAAACGAATTTTGTAATCAATTAAATGATTCTGTTGGAGAAAGAAATTGCTGAGTTTAGGTTCTTCTGACGTCATTTAATCAGTCCTCCATTAACTTTGTGGGCGAAAATCTCAACTTAACATGACAAATCTTCATGCAAAATAAAGAAAATTGACAGTATGATTTCATACTCAAAGATTAACTAGCAATGATTGACTTCTCACCTGGGCATGCTGCTGAACCCATTCAGCAGTTGCTGAGGTCGTAACCTCTGGCCCGGGTGCTCGAGGGTTAGTGGATATCGTTGATGATGGAAGAGCACTTTGATTGACAGTTGCTTGTTCTTGAATTGTTTTCGTAAGGCAGCCATAGACTGCAAGCGTGATTGTCGAATACCAACCCCTGAGAACCAAGCCATCTGTTGGAATTGGCTGCAAAAAAAAGAAAGGGCACTTGGTTAGTTGATTCCTTTCACAATCTAGATGTAAAAATGTATTATTAGCAATATCTGCCCCTTGCTAGACCATTACCTGGGAGCTGAAGAGCTAGGCTGACAAGAGGGGGTAGGTAAGCTTGACATGTATGTTTCGCTGCTAACTCTGTGGCTCACTTTACATCTATAATTTGTTTTAGCTACGAAGAAATCTTGGCAGTAACAGAATCTTACTTTCTTGTTCCTCTTGTGGGTCGATGAAGTATTTTTTTTTTAAGTGGCACTAAAGATCTTTCTATAATAGGTCTCAGTTACTTAGAGGGAGGAGGGTCAAAGATTGCTTAACAAACCCTTGAGCAAGAAGAAACCTGGAATGGGGGGGGGGGGGGGGTGTCAAGAATCGAAAAAAGCTTTTTTTTAATGTTTAGCTTTGCAAATTGATTACTGTTGATTTTACAGTCACGAAGAGAGGCTAAAATTCAAGACAACACCATGCTCTGTAACTGTGTGTAAGTGCACTTTTAAGACCATGTATTGACTACACTATGAGTACTGAATCGGATAAGACTTGATACTTGTGGCATTATTTGCCCTTTCTTTAAAAGTTTCTCAGTTCCTAGTCATGGTTATGTGCTAGACTGACATCACCAAGAAAACTCATTTTAATTTTGATGGTTGACAAGACATGAATAAAGTTGGCTCCAAGAAAATTTTGACAAATTACTTAAAAGTGCATGCATAGATGATGGAGTTGCGATACAGGATCAAACTTAGAAAGTGAGTACTGATTAATTGGAGACACTTACTCGATGGGATAGTTCCATTCTAATATTTCCATTTTGATTATAATCTAAAGCTCCGAGAGCTTCAAAGACAGCAGCCCCAGGAGCCTTACTAAGATCGTTGACAAAAAATTCGATCCGGAACTGCGAAGGATTTGTAGCTCTGAAATGAAGAGAAGGAATAGTTATGGTGCACAATTGTGGGGACATAAAAGATAATAAAAAGGAATTTGATAAAATCAAAGGCAATAAGCTAAAGTAATTTTGCACACATCTGAATTGTATCAAGTAGTCACCCTCCTGCCAAAGTATCTTGCGAGCACTATTTGCGCTTCGTCGCTACCCCCAAACATCTCAATATTGTTTTAATTTTTTAAAAACACTTATCCACATCCTTTTATTAAAATTTTAGGGATTAATCTTGATGACCAAAGGAACAGGCAGAATAGCAGGAGAGCTATCTAAGCCTAGAAACTATGTTGCCAAAAATTTCAAATATAAATTACATTGAAAAAGGAACTGATGCAGTATCAGCAAAAGACCTCGTGCATTCCTCCAGGTCATGCGAGGAAAAATGTTCAAATTTTGATTGAATCAGATTACCAATGACATAAAACGTATGTTTACTGCTTGCATGTTTACTGTGCATCTTGACAATATTTACTCTCTTATAAATCCATTCTTCAAAAATGGCAAACCGAGTTTCATGATTTGGTAGTTTCGTCATTAATGAGTACATGAAACAATAAAATGAAGGTGTGAATTTTCAATTGCTTAGTAGGAGATTAATATGTAGAAGAATTGAGAGAAAGTTCCCTAACTCCTTTGCAGAAAATGAATTTTTTTAGTGCCAAAAATACAGATCAAAGCTTACCCAAGTCGCACTCCACCAGGAAAATCAGCTTGAACTCTGGCACCCAATGGAATAATTCTTAATTCACTCAGAAGTACTGGCTTGGGAAATTGTACTAGGTCCAAATTTATTTCCTGCACAGAAAAACATTCCAGAAGAAATATTAATGCGACGCAATGGTTTGGCATTTCTCCACAAGTTGTTAGGCAGAGAAACTTACACCTCTCCAGTTGACATGGTTGAAAATATGATGAAGTATAATTTCAAGCGAGAGTGATTTGGCGTTAGAGCAGCAACTTTTAGATTTTAGCTATTTCTTAGGGGGCAACCTAAATGTTAGAGATGAAAAACATTGATGGGACCGTTACCGGATAGGATATGATTTCTATTTGGATCAGCTCTGCTTTAACAAATGAAGGCCCAAGTGCTTCATCAATAGAAGAACAAAAAACTAGGAGCTTAACATGTTTAAGATAGTTTCATGGCGTCAAGGAAAGACAACATCCTATGAAAAGAAATAGTTGAAATCATGAGGGGTGATAGAATTTATTCCCCACACATAATTAAAATAGCTACATATAGCAGCAGAGTAAAGCCCTAAAATCGCCAAAACAGGATTTCATTCTTTTGGCATGGGGCTTATCAATTGGACTTGGCATTACCCTGGTGAGATAGTTCACTTAATAGTCTGATGGTCTACATCTAAAGAACAAGAAAGAAACCTAGCAAATGATTGTTTGCTCATTGGAGACAGTTAATATATTCATAATCTTCGGAAGGATGATCGTCATTTATTACGTCCCGCTGCTGTTTTGTCCACTTCAAGTGAGGGGATTCACGGTAAGAAGTGGCTGCAGCTAAAGTTACATTAACTGCGCTATACCGGTCACTAATGGCTTTAACAATGAGCCGGAAAGTATCAAAGCATCTCACAGGAAACTCTGTAAACTCGACTAAAATAAAATCGGACAAATAATGGGAAAAAACCATTTGATGATAAACATAACCTATACGTCGGGCCTTCACTAGCCGAGCCTTCGTAGGGTAAAAAAGGAATAAAATAAGGGCACAATCATAAAATAAAAACTGTCTGGTATTCCGTTACCTCACAACTTTCGTGCGAAAACGTATCAAAAAATAATAACTCCACATTCTCGGCCATTTTTACACATTTCACATTTCACTCGGCCAAAGAAAATCACTGTAAACACGGCTAACGGGCACGAGGGAAGAGGGGAGGGGAAGGTGGGAGGGACAAGCGAGAACACATTTTTCGCCTCGAGATCGCAGCACAGTCAGTATTGAACATGTCACAGCCAGACGGGTTTTATATAGACAACTTGTCGTACATTCAGGGAGGATTGCCTATCAGCGCGGCGCTAGAATACGAGAACATTTCGACGTTGAAATTCTCAAACCACGTATCTCGTTTGCAGTGCTTTAAAATCTTCCCTATTTTATTTTTTAACACATAAATCATTATCATTCCTTAACATTTCATCAAAATCTACTTCAGACAGATTGGTAAAATCACTGAAGCTTTTTAGAATAGTATTGCTGTCGAGGTAGCTTTCCATTTAAAAACATTTTAAAAATAAAGTGTGACAAGAAGTCTTGCAACGTCGCAAACCGAGACTCGTGGTACAGGTGTTTTATTGTCGATTTACTTATTTTCCCCTTGAATCGAATATCGACGGTGTAAGTCCGCAATCACATAACTCGTTTGCGGTGTCTGAAAATCTCCGCCTCTATGTCATTTTTTAAAGGAAAACAAATTGATATAACTCCTCGAAGTTTTTACAGAATTTTCTTCGCACAGAGTAGAAAAATCACGGCAGTTTCAAAGAATTGCCGTCGATTAAAAATAAAGTATGACAGGAAGTCTGCGACGTCGCAAATCGAGTTATGTGATTGCCGACTTACACCGTCGATATCCGATGCCTGATGTCAGGTATTGCATTCTTGCCGGGTGATGCTGAAAACCTTTTTTTCGTCTTTCGGCAATAGACCACGCGCGACCTTATGGCCAGATATCATCCAGTTGAGGTTCGCCTTCAATTTTGCCGCTTAGGCAATCGCAAATCGGCAACATTGTTTTCCTTCATTAAAACCTATGGAATTATATCGATTCTTGGAAGGGCCAGGTGCTCCGACAAGAATCGATTATTTAACATAGGTTTAAATGGTGAGAATCCGGTGTTGCCATCAAATTGCTGAATCAACCTCTGATCGAAGTTACAGGCAAAGAACGAATGTATGCCATTGGAGAACTAAAAATCTCTGATGTGCAGGACCGTGGCGTCCTATGGGCGGATGGAGCGGTTGCTTGGTTGGAGAGGGGAGCGCCAAAAAGTCGAAGAGGAAAAAGGACGGGAGAAAACGAAAAAGAGAAAAAAATGCTTCCTTAAAATTCAAACATTTTTTGGGGAGCCCCTCCCCCCCCCCCCCCCCCCCCCNGGGGGGGGGGGGGGGGGGGGAGGCGCCGACAACATCCTTGCCCCAGGTGCTAAAAGTTCACACCATGACCCTGCTGATGTTGTTCATGGCATGAGAAAACTTTTAAAGAATAAGATCAAGAGGACAAAATGTAGGAATCAGCTCAGAGACTTAAACGCAACACAGAAAAGTAGGCGTGCCGCGACAAACGCGAGTTGCTCAACGCATGAACACCTTATTATTGTGCGTGCTTGTAAAACCGGGGGAAAAAGTTAGTTACTGTAACAGGAGGTTTGTTTACGAGCTTCTCTACATTTGCAATAGGCTTTTCGCTTTTATCCACTCGTTTTTTTGCGTCAAAAATTTGTTGAAAATGTGTGGAAATAGGAAATAGACATGGAAGCAAAGTTTTCTCCTAAAATTTTCTGTAATAGTTCTTATTTTTTTATGACCTTATTGATGAGCATCGTTTGTTAAAAGTTCGCCTTCAATTTTGATCCGTAGGCAACATAACTACCAATGAGCGCAAAGAGTTGTAATCTGTTTGAAAAACACACATTGATTTGCTTGGAACCTCTAAAAATCAAAATTATTCGTCGAGTTTTTTCATGAGCTTAAAACACATGAAATGTGTTGAACGCTGATCAATTCTTGGTAAGCGAAAGAGGATGATAAAATGAACATTATCTATGAGATTACGGTTTTCAGCGAATTGATATCTTAAAAAATCTAATCAATTTCGGAACTTCGAAAAGTGCTCCAATCGAGCTAAATTTTGGATTTAAAAAAAGCCTCCTTTCGTGTTGAATTAAAGTACCTAATTTCGCCAGCCGTTACGCAAATATTCCTTTCATGAAAAATTACAAGATAAAATGGACGAGAAAGTGGTGAAATTAAATAGAGAGGTCAAAAACGAGAATGCTCTATTCAGAAATGTTTAAAAAAATCGAAAACTTCATACCAAAAAATTATGAACTTAATGAGATCGAAACGAATATTTTTGGACAGACGCACAGTGGATCGAGGCAATAAGAGAGGTCGGACATGAACTTTTTGACTAAAACTGCAATATCTGAAGTTTATTTCGTCACATTTTAAATTTGAAGGGGTGCTCCTAGCAGAAAATTTCACGAGGAAACCAATGGAGCCACTTTTAGAACCTTAAAGTTTTGTATAAGCGGAGTTATAAGCGTTTAAAGTTTCCAAATTGTGCGACCTCTCTTATTAACTCGATCCACTATGAGACGTTGATAACAGAGTGGCTACATCGTGGGGTGGAATATGCCCAATGCAATGGACAAAAAAGGACATGACAGTCAATCCCTTCCGCCTGGTTTATGATGAAATGGATTGCATAAAGTATGGTAGGTACTTTGACAAAAATACTGACGCACTTACGTGAGCCTGTGTGTCACTGAAAAAAAAAATCTCGGTATCTTTACTAAGAAAAGAGTAAAATTACCAAGAATCCAGGGTTCTATTTGATCCCAGTTTTTTCTTGGTAAAATTACCATTTATGGAATTGTTAATTTTACCGAGAAATCTCGGTAAAATTATTGAACTTTCTCGGTAATTTTACTAGACCGTGGTTAAAACGCCAATATTTTTTATCGACTGTGGTAGAATTACCGAGATAAAATGGCAAAGTTACGGGGAATTGATTACCAATAAAAGAGGTATTCTCACCTGAAAAAAAAAACAGTAAAAATGCCGGTTTTTAGGTAAGCTTACCAGTCTGTCTTGGTAAAATTACTAATTGGTAAAAAAAAGTGAGATGGTAAAGGTACCAACGGACCTTGGTAAAAACGCCGAGAATTTTTTTTCGGTGAAGTATGGTACTTTGACAAAATACTGACGCACTTACGTGAGCCTGTGTGTGCGTGCGAGATATGTCTAGCATCTAGCATTGAGCTCTGAAGCTCACCCCACCTGTTAGGTCCACCGAAGCGGAAATCCACCCGAGTGGAAATGGCCATTTCCTCTTTCTATTCGGCTCATACCTTCCGAGTCGGTGTTCCAGTGTTCTGTCTGCCCCCCTCTCGGCAAGTCGGGAGATGTGTGCTCTGCAACAAACATGCGGTGCTTTTCCAAAGTCCAGTTTACCAAGTTCGCTCTCTTCCTCATGAACCTTCTGTATCTGGTGAGTTCATTTCTCAAGCCATGGACCACATGATAGGGTAAGAATTGAACTTCCTTAACCACGATACACGTCACCTTATCAAAATTTCTCGCGGATCACATTTATCAAAAACTTCCTACAGTGAGAAAACTACATTTTTGTAGTTCACGCTAGAATCGGTAAATTCAAACCTCCCGCTTGAAAAAAACCCAAAATCAACTCACGTCAAATCAGCCCATGAAAATAGTCTACTCCGTTTAATGAAAAAAAAAAAAATGGTCTGACAAAAAATTTTCCCTCCACTAGTCTATGGAAATTTTGTACTAATCGAGAAGAATTTCAATTCTGCTTACGGACGAAAGAAAATTCCATCGTAAAACACACTGAAATGACACTGGGAAAACAACTTCGTGCATAGGACCTGAAGTTAATGTTATATGGCTCTGAAGCTCTGAAGTTTTTCGAATCGTGCGACCAAAAACTGAAGGCCCAGCTGCCGAAGTTCGGGTTCCACATCTGAAGTATGTACTTCAGTTCAGTGGTTGACTCCATAGAAGTTTGCACCCAAGTCCCAGGCACAATTTTTTTCTCCGAGTAGGATGATGCGTGACTCAAACAGACTTTGTTCTTTGTTTTTTGTTTCTTGTTTTTTTTTAAGCGGAAAGTTTTTCAATTTAAATTTGAAAATGTCCACTATACTCCACGCAAAATTTCAATGATAAGGAAACGTGTATTGTGGTGCCTGAGCGGGCTGATTGTTGAAATTGATAGACAATAGTTACTATAGACAAAGAAGACATAGGGTGCATGGAGCGATCCTGTTGATTGAAATGAATGGTTCATATAGAGTTAGGGAGAAGATGATGGACTAATTATAGGGCCTCTTGTGGGTTGCCGTTACCTACCTCCTCTGTCCATTGCAACCACCCGCTTCAACTAATAGGATTCCTCCCTCCCTTTTGTCTTCTTTATCTATAACTTTGTCTATCAATTTCAACAATCGGCCCGCGGGTGTCATATTCTCCTCAGTGGTCCATTGCACTTATTGCATAAAGCCATGATAGTGTCGCACAAGAGTATAGAACTTTAAGGGCAGGTGTTTAATTAATATGTCAATGACATGATTTTCGATGAAAATGTCGGATATATTTCAATACGATTGTCTGAAACCAAGGCTGGTGGACTTTTGCGCAGATCGGTGGCACTGAAAGCTGCATTGGTAGCTTCTAAATGGTTGCGGATGGTGGAACTAACAGAGCACCGATCTCGATTAAGGTGTTCGAAAACTCCCGCTTATGTTTTTACTTTCTCGCTCCCCTCGCGCTCGCGGGTAGAGAAAATATTGTCTTCGTCCAGGAAAGAGAGAAAAAAAAGTTGAAATTTTTTGAGGGGGACTCTGAACTTTCAAATTTAACCGGTGTGGAGGTCCCTGTGCCCCATCAGAAAAGTCTCAGAGGATAACGGGACCGTCAAACGTTGATTCCTTGGGATCGATTACCCATGAATACACATTTTCTCCGAGTCTCCACGTCAATTTAACGAACTTGAATTTTTTTGAAAGAGGGCTCTGTTCCCTACCTTTAGGGGTCGGTATTTTGGACACGGATGGGCCAATTTTGGATTTCTTGGTGTCAATTTAAGCTAAACACTTCCGTACGTTCTGATTCCTATAAAATAATTTCAAAATTTTGATATTAACCCTGACTTTTGAAGTACGGACCCCCTTTTTACCCCCCGAGGGCCGCCAGGGAGGCTCTGGGACCATGAAATTCAGATTCCTTGGGGTCGATTCCCTATTCATCCCCGTGATCCTGGACTTCGTACGACCCAAATTAACCGAAAAAAGGCCTGGTACGGTATAGATCCGGGCCACCCTGCATACGTTAAAAATGTATACGTTCTATACATATTTATCAAACCTCAAGCCGAAGAATGAATTTGATCCATTTTTTAATGGTCAGTTTGAATGGGCTAGAAATCAGACTTCCGTGACAACGGCATAAAGCGTAAACAAAGAGAATCTCCAAACAAAGACATTGCGTAAATGTACGATGCGACTGTGGACAGTGCTATCACGCATGGTTGCTGTTAGCGGCTGGATCACGACCACGTGGAACCCCTCATATTGTAATGCGTTTACCGCGTTACATGCGTTTACCGTTCAATTTTAAGGAACATTGATGAGCTTAACAAGGTAAATACAAATCGAAGGAAATTAGGCGGATCAACATTGGAACAATGGAATGGACGAATGGGTAAAAATTAAACTCCCGAGTACATACAATTGTATCGTCTGATTTTGAAGGCGAACCAATAACCATTCGGTGTTGCGGTAAAAAATGCCTCAAAAGTTAATCTGTATGGAGACTGTTTCTTCGGCGAGATCTCTTGTGCGGTCTAGTGGTTGACTCTAATTACTCGGGAAAAATTTTAGAAAGGAGCCTACAGGAAGCTATTCATTTTCAGTCAATATCGAAGCCAGAAGAAAGGCTGTGAAAACATGCTCAAGGTAATAATGAACTGTGTAGGTGCCGCTGCCATACCAGGGAAGAATTTCAAGCCAGAAATTTCAAGGGAAGGAAAAATTTCAAGATAGTTTTCATCCTTCATAGCAAGTAATCAATTACAGCGTATCTCATAACCTATTTTAAAGCTTCGGTAACGCACCTGACTGGCACTTATCAGTGTCGCCGTTTTTGACGGAATTGCCAGTCAGAGAATTGTCGAGATCTGAATTAATATCATGTTTGTTAACAATTATAACTCGGTATTAGATCAATGTTTTTCGTGCCAAAGCAGGATATAGAAATTACGTGTTATACCTTACAATTAAAAAATGTGATTCGGTAATTTAAGCGATTTTATTGTTGAAGTGTAGCTCCCTGTAATTATCCAGAAATCACTGAAAAGTACATGCACTCTCCTCAAAAAAAAAAAAAATGTTTAGATCTGGGCACGAATTGGGGTTCCAGTCGAATTCAAGTTCGATATCAAATTCCGGGACTAGTAGGTACCCATCGATGCATCGATGAAGAAAAAAAAAAACCTAATCTAAAATTACGATCTATCTCATGCTTTATTTTCTACACAGGAATCTAATGTCAAAGCACGCATCAATATTGTTAGTGATTTTTATTCTTATTGTGAAGGAGCCTTCTGTGGTAATATTAATTGAAAAGAATGACGTTAAAAATAAGGAATGAATGAATAAATTATTGATGGAACTGAAAGGCCAATTTGAAGAAAATAAGACGGAAGTGTGGATTCTAAGTAAACGAAATCGAAAAGGAATGTTTTTTGGTCATACAATCGATAAAAAACCCAACTAGAAGCACTATAACACACACCGACTGCCGCACAGTGGATCGAGTCAATAGGAGAGGTCGGACAAAATTTGGAAACTTCAAACGCTTATAATTCCGTTTAAATGAAACTTTGAAGTTCTAAATGTGGTTCCGACCGTTTCCTCGTAATTTTTTTTTCAAAAGCACCTTTGAAATGTAAAATGTGACGATATTAACATAAAAATTTGCAGTTTTTGTCACCGATTTTATGTCCGACCTCTCTAATTGACTCGATCCACTGTGTGCCGCCGCGTCACCTTGCCAGTTGCCGAGCGTACTATAACGGCGCCTTCATTTCCCTGACAAGCCCCCTGTCTTGCACAGCGTGCCTCCTGCCTAGTTCACAATCAGATTGGTGTAAATTCAGTTGAGATTAGCTCATCGCATTCGCTGAATCGTGTCTCTACATGACATAAGCATGGGATTGTCTTCTTTCTAAATTTAGCATTTGTTTTCTTTCAGCTGTGCGGTTTACTACTGATCACAGGCGGCATCTTGCTTCTGTCCAACACCCACTACATACTGATATCCCGTCTGATCCAACCGTCATCGATGCAACCGATTTTCTACTACGTCGCTCTGGTTTTGATGAGCATCGGCTTGGTCATAGTTTCGATCTCGATTCTTGGATGTTGGGCAACACATTTGGATAATTACTGTTTTCTCGCATTCGTAAGGATTCTTAAAATTTCCTTTAAAAGTCATTCCCAAGCTACATTGTGATGTAAAAAAGGAATTCAGGCAATAATTTAACATCTTAGATGATTAAAATAATTAGAATACAGCTTTCCATCATTCGAGACTTGGGTAGAGTCAAGCAAAACAGTCAAATCTACATGGCGGTGTTTCAAAATCTCATCTCCTATTTCAATTTTTTGAAGGGAAATCACCCTTCATCCCGACTCGAAAATCGTTGCAATTTTTATCACCCATAGGTAGGTTATTTTTACCATATTTTAGACAAAAACGCGAATTGGTTTCCTTCTAAAAAATTAAATTAAAAAATGAGATTTTGAAACATTGCTATGTAGACATGACAATTCCGCTCAGAGCTATTCATTGACCGAAAAACACGATTTTGACGGAAAACTTTGATTTCTTCCAAAAATTAACTGGGATTATTGAAGGAAAATTCACGTTCCAGGTTTGATCAATTTCCTTCCTGATACATGTGTGCATGGTACAGAAAAACTAAACTCATTTCCGGATAGGACTTTTGTGATAAAAGTAAGCTTGCAGAGTAATTGTATTTATGTGCTCAGTTTGACAAAAAAGTAGAAATAATAAGAACTTTCTAAACGCTGAAAATCAAAGTCAAATATGTGAGCGGATAAACCAACCACTTTTTGAAATAAGCTAGGTAATGACTACCTACAGTGCTTGCTCTTACCGGCGGCAGCGCAGCGTAGTTTCATCAAATTATTAAAGAATACAATTTGCACTGTATACCGAACGCTAACGTGCATCATTGCATTACTTGTAAGTCATATTTTATAGATGTGTTATGGTATTTTTCTCCGCCATCTCGTCACAGTCGCTCCCAAGTTTCATTCCAAACTTTGAATATTTTCAGTACCTGTTTGCGCTTTTGGTTCTCTTGCTGGCTGAGAGTGTGATCGGAATTCTTACGGTCATATTCCCTGAGTATCTCGGCGTGAACTTGAGCAGGGATGCTTTGATGAGCCTCTGGCAACGGACCTACGGGGTGCCCGGCAAAGAGCAGTTCACGGCTTCTATTGACCTCGTACAAACAAGAGTAAGTTCACTCCACTGAAATCTCAGGCTGCTTCCTTAAACCCTTACCACAAATGGACTACATTTTGCAATTAAGAACTATAAATTTCGGCCCGGTTTAAAAACACAACGTATGTGCTATTAGTTTCCCTATGCACATAAGTGTTTTTTCAGATGAGTTGAAGTTTATAGCTCCAAATTGCAAAATGCAGTCCAAATAAGGCTCCGAGCCGCAGAAGTTCAATTACAAGGTCTCAAAGTTTCTCCTAAAAACTTCTGTTTTTGTAAATGGCCATGTATGCTTTTTCAAGAAGATTTTAAAACATTTTAACAAAAAAAGGATGCAAAGGAAATTATTTGATAAATGCCCGAAAAGCAAAGGCAGGATTTAAGAAAAATGAGCGATTTCATGGGAAAATTGATACTGCGGATCGGAGTGTTATGCATGTTGCTTCTCCACTAATTGAAGGGGCTTCCCTTTGTTGAAAGGTGATACCATAGAATTGAAATATATTTCTTTGTATTGCATTGACTTTCTTCCATCTGATCATGTAATAAAGTTTCGGAATCGGCATAAGTAATGTAAAAAAATTGCATTTTTTATTGTAAAAAAAAAAATTGCAACTTCATTTCAATATATTTTTGCAAAAGCCCCAAAATTCAGGAACAAGGCTCCACATGTAAAAAAACTGCATTTTTTGTCGTTGAAACCCCCGAATAAACATAAATGTAGTGTAGCGTATTATTTAAAAAAGGTGCTTTTGTGAAAAAGTGCAGTTGCAATAAGTTTTACCCGTTCCGGTTGACCTAATTGTAAGTCGATACTATGCAAAGTTTGGGAGCCGCACTGCATGTCCATGATTCAACCGGGTTCTTTTTACGAAAAATCACATGCTTTTTATTCCTTATTACTCATTTTCTCCGGATATTTCTAATGACCACTGTCGATACCAAGAACCATGATATTAGTTTACTAAAATGCCGCCAGATCGAGAGCTAAGAAATTAATTGGGCAATATTCCACCATCATGACAGTTCACCAAAATTTGATAAGAAGACATCGAGTTTATCAAATTTCTAGTGTTTCTGATTATCGTTGGTCTCTGCAAAAGCAACTTCGCACCGCCCAATACTTGTCTGAATCTTCACGTCATTGAAAAAAACTATCCTCCAATACACGACCGTGACGAGAAGAAGAGAGAGAGGGTTGCTTCATAACGTTGCCCCTCTGACGTAAGGGCGTATCTCGATTTTCACGTGAACCCTGTTGTCCATATAACTCCATGTTTTCCAGGGCTCATGTCGAAATCGAGATACGCCCTTACGTCAGAGGACCGACGATAAGATCCAATCCAAGGCCTTTCGTTTTAATACATTTTTAAGCACTAACAGATATGCTGCCGTGCTAAGGAAGAACGCCGCACAAACATTCGAGAGTTGCCAAAGTTCCTCCGATAAAAGTATCATTTTGGAGGAAAGTTATGAATATTTTCTCTCGAACTTTGCAGATGATTTAGATCTGACTGCTAGTGAAATTATCTGAAAAATTGGAGGCAAAATATTCAAAAATGGAGATGTTGCATGTGTAAGGAATTTGCGATTTGACCATTGATTCTTATGTAAAAGTTCGCGAGAAACACGATGGTGCCACTGGTTTTCTCTGAAATCATCTCCCAAGCTCAAGAAAAGCTCTCAAGTTGAGGCCAAAATGGAGGGGATATCTCACGCTATCCTGAGAGTCCACGTCTACATCAAGACGAACTCTCCATGCAAAGATAGGGAGCAAATACATTGAAAGGGCTGCTACTTTATTTGGGGACTCTAAATCTGAAAACACGGCATCACTGCACTGCTAATGTATTTGCTCCCTATCTTTGCATAGAGAGTTCGTCTTGATGTAGAGGTGGACTCGCAGGATAGCGTGGGATATCCCCTCCATTTTGGCATCAACTTGAGAGCTTTTTTTGAGCTTGGGAGTTGATTTCAGAAAAAACCAGTGGCGCCATCGTGTTTCTCGCGAACTTTTGCATAAGATTCACCAGTCAAATCGCAAATTCCTCACACATGCAACATCTCCATTTCTCTGTAAATTCGTATTTTATCGAAGGAAATTTGGCAACGCCTGAAGGTTCGTGCGACTTTTTTCTTTACATGGCAGTATGTTTCATACTAGGTTGTCGTCAATGATTTCAATGATTTAGATCTGGATGCGAATGAAATTATCTGAAAAATTGGAGGCAAAATATTCAAAACTTTCTCTGTAAATTCGTATTTTATCAAAGGAAATGTGGCAACGCCTGAAGGCTCATACGACGTTTTTTCTTTACATGGCAGTATGTTTCATACTAGGTTGTCGTCAATGATTTCAATGATTTCAATGATTTAGATCTGGATGCGAATGAAATTATCTGAAAAATTGGAGGCAAAATATTCAAAACTTTCTCTGTAAATTCGTATTTTATCGAAGGAAATGTGGCAACGCCTGAAGGTTCGTGCGGTGTTTTTCCTTTGCATGGCAGTATGTTTCATACTCGGTTGTCGTCGATGATTTCAGTTCGAGTGCTGCGGGATCAACAGCGGGAATGACTTCCAGGCGTCCTGGTGGCGGCTCCGGGAGTTGGCGCCCCCCTCGCTCCTGGTGCCCCTGTCCTGCTGCGTCACCAACGTCACGGACCCCGAGGCCTACCTTGACCCTCAACCTCTGGACACGAGCGTCTGCCAGAAACAGCACCTCGAGGACTACCGCGAGTTCAGGCATTCTCAGGTGAACGCAATTCATTGTCAACGCACCGTCCTATCTAACGGGTCATCGCTGAACGTACAAGGAAAAACGCCGGCTCGTTCCGCTGAAAAGCCCGAACTGAGCGCGCCATCATTGGCTGGTTGGTCATAACCGAACTTTTACGTTAGAGTGAACCAGAATGTACATAGAGCCCCTCTCGGGTTAGACATAGAAATGTTATGACTTTTATGGCACAGCCATCGATGACTGTTCCTGTGAAACAGCCCCAAAATCCCCCAGAAGACTCATTAACAAATGACCAGAAATTATGTTGGATATAATTAGAATTCTTAAAGATCAGGGCCGAATTAAACTTATGATGTTTTCAATAAAACCATAAATTAAATTGGACGTATTTCAATAAAACGGAACTAAGCGCTAATTTGAGTTCCTTTTGAGGAATTTAGAATCCCGGATAGCGCGTTCTGTCAAACGGACCTAAGCGCCATGGAA